CCCCTGCGTCATTTCTCCGGGTTATCGTGACCTCGCCCCTACCTTGCAGCCACTGGAGGCCGATATAAACCCCCACAGTGTTATATACAACAACAACAATATATAGAATCGATTATTGGATTCGATAGAATCGCGAAAATTTTATCGCCCCTCCCCCGGGTGGGGTGGAGTTGGTGTGGTTCTCCTCTGGGTGGACTCGGACTGAAATTCATCTCTCATTGAGATCTGGGAGCAGAGGAGGTCGGGTTTCTGTGGACAGAGCTAACCTCGGGGTTGCCACCTTTGCTACCACCCTCCGTACATTTCAAGTCGGCACTGGGGTCTTTCGCCAGAACTGTGTGCAGTTGACCAACCCAAACTCAGGCGAACACATTCCTAGACTGTCCCGGTAAAACCTGGACGGGTGGCAACCCCCCCCCCCCCCCCCGTTATTAAACCTGGCGCTGGAGAGAGATTGAAGTTGCGATTGTGGTTATTCATCTTCTTGGTTCTTTCGGTAAAGTCACGTAGAAGGGAAGTAATAAAATAATAAAAATAAAACATAATAAAATAATTTGCACGACGTTTCGGCCACAACGCAAGCAGCCGTCCTCGGGTGAAGAATGATAATTATTGTGAGAATGATTTTATTATGTTTTATTTTTATTCTTTTATTACTTCCATTCTACGTGACTTTACCGAAAGAACCAAGAAGATGATTCCCTGCAGTCTCGAAAGCTTTAAATCGAAATTGTGGTTATTGTTGTTGGGTTTCGTCACACGTTAACATCTAAGACAAGTTTTACGGTCGTGAGGTTTTTAGATTCGGAACTCTGCTTTTCCGCGGTGATCTGGTGGTGGGTGGAGCCCAAATATGGGTCGTGGCGTTGGCAAGGAGATGTTGACTACCTCGCCTGGTGTGCAGGATGTTGTGGGTTCGAACCCAACTGATGATGATGCCTGTTGCGTATTTGGAGTTTGCGTGTCTCTCTCTCTCATCATCATCACGGTGGCTAGGAGATGTTGACTACCTCGCCTGGTGTGCAGGATGTTGTGGGTTCGAACCCAACTGATGATGATGCCTGTTGCGTATTTGGAGTTTGCGTGTCTCTCTCTCTCATCATCATCACGGTGGCTAGGAGATGTTAACTCCCTCGTCTGGTGTACATGAGGTCGTGGGTTCCATCCAGACTCTGACGTCTGCTGCTGCTGTATATTTGGAGTTTGCGTGTCTCTCACTATCATCATCACGGTGGCTAGGAGATGTTAACTCCCTCGCCTGGTGTGCAGGAGGTTGTGGGTTCGAACCCAACTCTGATTATGCCTGTTGCGTATTTGGAGTTTGCGTGTCTCTCTCTCTCCGCGTGGTCGTGGGGATTTTTTCTCCGGGTCCTCAGGTTTTTATCCCCCTCCTCCCACATTTAGAATCGACATCACCACGCGTTTCGATTATTTGGCCTTACCTGGCAAATAAAAAAAAATACATTTCAAGGGTCCTATTTATCCGTAGGTTTGTCTGCCACGATTTTACTCCGCTGATCCGCGCATGAAAAAAAATTAATGAGAACAAAAAATCGGACGCGGCGTTTGACGACGTGGATCGTTTACATCGCGGGGTCGTGGGTGACGGCTGCGGTTGCAGCTTCCGGAATCTCTCTTCAGGCCGCTGGAGGAATCCGCTGAGCTTCAAAGCTTCTTTTTCGCTTGCGTGGGAAGCCTTCATCCAGCAGTGGATTGATCGTGGCTGGTGATGGGCGAGGGGGGGCTACAGCAGTGGGTGATCGAGAGCGACTGTGGACCCCATCGACTCCGATGCGGATAATAGGGGGGGGGGGTTCATCTTCTTGGTTCTCTCGGTAAAGTCACGTAGAAGGGAAATAATAAAATAATAAAAATAAAACATAATAAAATAATTCTAACGGCGTTTCGGCCACAACGCAAGCAGCCGTCCTCAGGTGAAGAACAGGTCTGTCGGAAAGACAGCGTCTGAATTCTGAAAGAACAGGTCTGTCGGAAAGACAGCGTCTGAATTCTGAAAGAACAGGTCTGTCGGAAAGACGGCGTCTGAATTCAGACGCCGTCTTTCCGACAGCCCTGTTCTTCACCCGAGGACGGCTGCTTGCGTTGTGGCCGAAAAGTCGTGAGAATTGTATTTTATTATAGTTGTAATTTTATTATTTTATTATTTCCCTTCTACGTGACTTTACCGAAAGAACCAAGAAGATGAATCCCTGCAGTCACGAAAGCTTTAAATCGAAATAAGGGGGGGGGGGGGGGTTGCGGATAAGAGGAGTTCTATGAATGACAGTAAAGATACTAACGAAACAAAATGCCGCGGCGTTTAAAATGTTCCTTCATTTCCATCGCGAATGCGCACTGCTTGGCTTGAAAAGTTTTTTTGTTTAAAAAAAATAATAAAATGTATAAAAAATAAATATGCTTGTAATGTTTTCATTGTGTTTTTGTGTGTGTACCAAGGACGTATTTATAATATATATTTGGGGGGACACATCCAATATTAAAATATTCTCAAAATATCCCACCCCCCAATATAATGCTATAAAATAGATTTCTGTGTATATGATTGTGGTTATGGTTATACTTTATTAAGCCCTAATCTTTGTCATTACATACAATGAAACAAGAAAAGGTCAACAAAAAGAAAATGCAGAGCAATGTAATACAATACACTATTATACATTATTGTAAAAAATAAATAAAAAGTCCATCCCATGTGTTAGTGAGTTTTTTAATATTTTAGGCAGGAAATTAGTTTTCAAATTGAGATTTTTTTTTTTTTCTGGGGGAGACCCCCAGACACCCTGGAAGATTTGCCCCCCCCCCCCAATGTTGACTCCATGGCTACGGTCTTGGTGTGTACACGTATATTAATCCATTGGAAGTGTTTGATAAATATTAAAAGTAACACATAATTTCTGTCACTTTCGCCCCTGTTTGGTTCGATCCCGACCCTAACGCCTGCTGTATATTTGGTAATTGAGTTCAGTTAAAACACATTCCTGCGGAGGGAGCTGGTAGAAACGTCGGGTTGCTCGGTCAATGGCCTGCAGGGTCCATGGCGGCGTGGTGTATTCCGCAAAGAACCAAGAAGATGAATCCCTGCAGTCACGAAAGCTTTAAATCGAAACAAAATCACTGTGTTGTAGTTAATGCAGTAACTTGATTCCTTGAAAAATAAATCTATTTGGTGTTTGAACATTGCCAGAAAGGGGGGGGGGGGGGGGGGGAGAGTCAATGACTATTCTTGTTTTTCATGAGAAATAACAATTTAAAAAACACATTTTGGAGCAGGATGGGAAACACTGGTGGTTCCTTTGGCAACGTTGCTTGTACGTCCGCAGGCGACGTTGAGCGGTGAAGTCATGCTCCCCCCCCGTCACACGTGGTTTGTGTATCGTGCTGTTTGTGGCGAACACAAGGGAAGCAGATTGAAGGCGTCTCTCTCTCTCGTGACCACGGGATGATGATGATGCTGTTGTTTATGAAGGCTGTAAAGTTGTAAAAAACACGAAATTATTGACACGGCGGCAAGGCAGAGGAGGTGTCACATGTCGGTCACGATGTCGTAGAGCTCGAGACACCAGATGAGTTCATGATGTATTAAACATTTTTTAAAAGTTTCCATTTGTTCCTAACAGCTTATTTTTGTGATGTGTGTGAGTGGGGGAGCGGTGGTGTAGCGGTTAGCGCGCTGCGCTATGAACACGGCCAACACCAGTGACGATTATCTGAACCGGTCCCGGGCCTCCCCTAGGTCGACTCAGCCTCAAATGAGTACCTGGTGCGATGTGTAAACATCGTCGCTAGGGAGACAAAGGCGGCCGGGCGTGGTGCTGGCCACCCACCCCCTCGTGTGCCGTGCCGGCCTTCATAGGTGCTACTCGCTAACAGCACTTGCCCCTACAGTCTGTTACAGGCTACACGGGGGATCTTTGTCTTTAGTGTTGCTCATTCACGAAACACGTGGCAAGGAGCTATTTTAACACCGTTCGGACTTAAGGAGAAATCTTCATCGGAAAACCCTCGCCATTCGCGAGTTCTGGATTCGCGCGTCTTTCATATTCGCGGGTTTTCAGATGCGCTTCTGCGGCCGTCTGGAATGCTCTTCAAGATATTAGGAAGCCACTGGAATTGTAATGTAACCACACTCAACACTGCCCATAGACTCAACACTACCCATAGACTCAACACTGCCCATAGACTCAACACTGCCCATAGACTCAACACTGCCCATAGACTCAACACTGCCCATAGACTCAACACTGCCCATAGACTCAACACTGCCCATAGACTAATACTGCCCATAGACTCAACACTGCCCATAGACTCAACACTGCCCATAGACTCAACACTACCCATAGACTAACACTGCCCATAGACTCAACACTGCCCATAGACTCAACACTACCGATAGACTCAGCACTGCCCATAGACTCAACACTGCCCATAGACTCAACACTACCCATAGACTCAACACTACCCATAGACTCAACACTGCCCATAGACTCAACACTGCCCATAGACTCAACACTGCCCATAGACTCAACACTACCCATAGACTAACACTACCCACCCACACACCACCCACACACATCACCCACGCACCACCCACCCACACCACCCACACACACACCACCCACACACACACCACCCACACACACCACCCACACACACCACCCACACACACCACCCACACACACCACCCACACACACACACCCACACACACACCACCCACACACACCACTCACACACACCACTCACACACACCACCCACACACACACCACCCACACACACACCACCCACACACACCACTCACAAATTGTCGTCACTTTTGAAACTGCCCGCGAAGTTGTGGCACGCCGTCTGTGCAACCCGCGCGGTGACGTCATCACGCACGCAGGGGCCACCTGCGCGGTGACGTCATCACGCACGCAGGGGCCACCCGCGCGGTGACGTAATCACGCACGCAGGGGCTACCCGCGCGGTGACGTAATCACGCACGAGGCGGCTAATTTGTTTACATCCTCCCTCCCCTTAAAGCGGCGTTGTGAGGGATGAACCGACTCCGCCTCAGACGATAAGAAAATAAAGTTTAATATTTACTTATTTTCGGGACTCCTCCTGCCTCAAAAGGGGGGGAGGGCCGCGTCAAGTTCGCCGTTCTTCAGCGACTCGCGCGCGCCGCCGCCTCCGATGCTGCCAAGGCCGATTTCGTGAGGGCCTCGGTAAGCCTGCGGCCTTGCCTGACGCGCCCTGCCCGCGAGAGGCGCTCGCCGCCTGGTTCGGAGGGGTGTTGGGGGAGGGTGGCGACCGGAGAATTTCGTGAGGGCCTCAGTAAGCCTACGGGCTTGCCTGACGCGCCCTGCCCGCGAGAGGCGCTCGCCGCCTGGTTCGGAGGGGTGTTGAGGGAGGGTGGCGACCGGAGAATTTCGTGAGGGCCTCAGTAAGCCTACGGGCTTGCCTGACGCGCCCTGCCCGCCAGAGGCGCTCGCCGCCTGGTTCGGAGGGGTGTTGGGGGAGGGTGGCGACCGACGAATTTCGTGAAGGCCTCGGGAAGCCTGCGGGCTTGCCTGACGCGCCCTGCCCGCGAGAGGCGCTCGCCGCCTGGTTCAGAGGGGTGTTGGGGGAGGGTGGCGACCGGAGAATTTCGTGAAGGCCTCGGTAAGCCTGCGGGCTTGCCTGACGCGCCCTGCCCGCCAGAGGCGCTCGCCGCCTGGTTCAGAGGGGTGTTGGGGGAGGGTGGCGACCGACGAATTTCGTGAAGGCCTCGGGAAGCCTGCGGGCTTGCCTGACGCGCCCTGCCCGCGAGAGGCGCTCGCCGCCTGGTTCAGAGGGGTGTTGGGGGAGGGTGGCGACCGAAGATCGTCAATGACAGTTTTTGGTTGGGTGGGCAGCCGGAACCGGCCAGTGGAATGTGGAATTTCCACTCTGGCACTTCGACTGGCTGGCGGCTACCTTATTTCCTCTTCATTATGGCTATCGTCATAATCTATAGTGCCGCTAAGGTAAAGTCTCTCATAGCTGTCAACCCACCACGGTTTACTCCGTATTCTTGTACAGGGAAACAAAATGTGTCTTATTTGTTTGTGTTTCTCCCTTGTGATGGGACTTTGTAGGATGAACGTTGAGATTTATAAACGGCACGGGGTGACCGATACGTTCTGAATTGATCTGTGATAAGGTAAGGGCACTGATAAGGGGTTGACAGGTATGGGACCTAATCTTGTTTTGAAGCTTTCGTTACTGCAGCAATCCATACTCTGTGGTTCTTTAGGTAAAGTCCCCCCGTTCTTACCAATATAACCTCTTGCCACGGCTGCTTTCACCATTTTCTTGCTGTGGTTGTTCCACCTGATGAAGATTGCTTGTGTTGCGATCGAAACGTCGTGATTTGTTTTATTTTATTTCTGCCTACGTGACTTTACCGAATGAACCAATGAGTATGTGTTGTACCCACCGTTGGTAGTACATGTTGTTTATGCCATTTATTGTGAAAATTCCGTCACAGTTCCTATGATCACCGTTTCATTGCTTTCATGGCTTTATTTTGGTGCTTTCGAAAAGTGTATTGGTTCTTGCCATGTTTGTTTGTTGTAGTACAGAGTTAGACTGATGGCCCTAATCTAAGTTGTCTTGTGGTTGTTGTTGTTGTTTGTTGTAGTACAGAGTTAGACTGATGGCCCTAATCTAAGTTGTCTTGTGGTTGTTGGTTGTTTGACTTGCATCCCACTGGGATTTTTGCACACAGCGTTGGTGTACGGTGATTTTTTTTCTGCAATATTTTGCTGTCTTTTCTTGGATTTCTGTTTGCACTTAGTCACATAGTCACTTTAAGATGTTTTCTTGTTCATGTTTTTGTTTTTAAATCCTTTATATTAAGTTCGCTTGCTTGCGTGCTTACGACCGTGCACATCTTTCGGTCGTTTTTTAACCCACTTCCCGTGATCCAATCGAGCTGACATTTTGCACACAGACTCGTTGTGTGTGACAATTAATGTTCGTGAAAAAACATTTCCAAAATTTTACACTGTTTAGGGAAAGCAAATTAAATATTTAATTACCAATTGTTTAATACTGCAGACAATCATCTGACCCATAGGTGGCAACCATCTCAAGCCAGAGGACGAGAGGACTCTAGCCGCCACGCATACAAAGGATTTAGAGTGAAAAACTTTGTTTTTACGGGTTCTACTTATTTGTTTGTTGCGGTTGCACCCGATTCAAGAGCCGAATGGCTCACAGGGCTATACCACCGAGACGCTTTAATTAATATTCTCTTCATCCAGACTTTATCCGTCAAAGGTAAGGATATCCTGGCCTCCGTCATAGTAACGTAGAATGTATACTGCTTGCCCCAGTGCTGCCTATACATACGAGTACTGTTCGCCGGTGGGTTTTTAAACAGCTATTTAAATTTACTCTTTAAAAACTGATACAATCAATACGTTGTGATGATTGTTTTAAGGTCTATTAAAATTACTTAATTGATCATAACGGCCCAACATTGCCACCCACTGCTGTATGAATGTGTCCCTACTACTCATAAAAAAATATTTTATTGTAAAAAAATTATCCGACAGTGTTTATTGTGTGTATGTACGGTATGTTGAACTTATTTTGTACCGTAGCCAACCGTGCGAATCGAAGGTACAGTGTTGAGTCTATGGGCAGTGTTGAGTCTATGGGCAGTGTTGAGTCTGTGGGCAGTGTTGAGTCTGTGGGCAGTGTTGAGTCTGTGGGCAGTGTTGAGTCTGTGGGAAGTGTTGAGTCTGTGGGCAGTGTTGAGTCTATGGGCAGTGTTGAGTCTATGGGCAGTGTTGAGTCTATGGGCAGTGTTGAGTCTATGGGCAGTGTTGAGTCTGTGGGCAGTGTTGAGTCTGTGGGCAGTGTTGAGTCTATGGGCAGTGTTGAGTCTATGGGCAGTGTTGAGTCTATGGGCAGTGTTGAGTCTATGGGCAGTGTTGAGTCTATGGGCAGTGTTGAGTCTATGGGCAGTGTTGAGTCTATGGGCAGTGTTGAGTCTATGGGCAGTGTTGAGTCTATGGGCAGTGTTGAGTCTATGGGCAGTGTTGAGTATGGGCAGTGTTGAGTCTATGGGCAGTGTTGAGTCTGTGGGCAGTGTTGAGTCTGTGGGCAGTGTTGAGTCTGTGGGCAGTGTTGAGTCTGTGGGCAGTGTTGTGTCTGTGGGCAGTGTTGAGTCTGTGGGCAGTGTTGAGTCTGTGGGCAGTGTTAGTCTATGGGCAGTGTTGAGTCTATGGGCAGTGTTGAGTCTATGGGCAGTGTTGACTCTATGGGCAGTGTTGAGTCTATGGGCAGTGTTGAGTCTATGGGCAGTGTTGACTCTATGGGCAGTGTTGAGTCTATGGGCAGTGTTGAGTCTATGGGCAGTGTTGAGTCTATGGGCAGTGTTGAGTATATGGGCAGTGTTGAGTCTATGGGCAGTGTTGAGTCTGTGGGCAGTGTTGAGTCTGTGGGCAGTGTTGTGTCTGTGGGCAGTGTTGAGTCTGTGGGCAGTGTTGAGTCTGTGGGCAGTGTTGAGTCTGTGGGCAGTGTTGAGTCTGTGGGCAGTGTTGAGTCTGTGGGCAGTGTTGAGTCTGTGGGAAGTGTTGAGTCTGTGGGCAGTGTTGAGTCTATGGGCAGTGTTGAGTCTATGGGCAGTGTTGAGTCTATGGGCAGTGTTGAGTCCTATGGGCAGTGTTGAGTCTGTGGGCAGTGTTGAGTCTGTGGGCAGTGTTAGTCTATGGGCAGTGTTGAGTCTATGGGCAGTGTTGAGTCTATGGGCAGTGTTGAGTCTATGGGCAGTGTTGAGTCTATGGGCAGTGTTGAGTCTATGGGCAGTGTTGACTCTATGGGCAGTGTTGAGTCTATGGGCAGTGTTGAGTCTATGGGCAGTGTTGAGTCTATGGGCAGTGTTGAGTATATGGGCAGTGTTGAGTCTATGGGCAGTGTTGAGTCTGTGGGCAGTGTTGAGTCTGTGGGCAGTGTTGTGTCTGTGGGCAGTGTTGAGTCTGTGGGCAGTGTTAGTCTATGGGCAGTGTTGAGTCTATGGGCAGTGTTGAGTCTATGGGCAGTGTTGACTCTATGGGCAGTGTTGAGTCTATGGGCAGTGTTGAGTCTATGGGCAGTGTTGACTCTATGGGCAGTGTTGAGTCTATGGGCAGTGTTGAGTCTATGGGCAGTGTTGAGTCTATGGGCAGTGTTGAGTATATGGGCAGTGTTGAGTCTATGGGCAGTGTTGAGTCTGTGGGCAGTGTTGAGTCTGTGGGCAGTGTTGAGTCTGTGGGCAGTGTTGAGTCTGTGGGCAGTGTTGAGTCTGTGGGCAGTGTTGAGTCTGTGGGCAGTGTTGAGTCTGTGGGCAGTGTTGAGTCTGGGCAGTGTTAGTCTATGGGCAGTGTTGAGTCTGTAGGCAGTGTTGAGTCTGTGGGCAGTGTTGAGTCTGTGGGCAGTGTTGAGTCTGTGGGCAGTGTTGAGTCTATGGGCAGTGTTGAGTCTATGGGCAGTGTTGAGTCTATGGGCAGTGTTGAGTCTATGGGCAGTGTGAGTCTGTGGGCAGTGTTGAGTCTGTGGGCAGTGTTGAGTCTGTGGGCAGTGTTGAGTCTGTGGGCAGTGTTGAGTCTGTGGGCAGTGTTAGTCTATGGGCAGTGTTGAGTCTATGGGCAGTGTTGAGTCTGTGGGCAGTGTTGAGTCTGTGGGCAGTGTTGAGTCCATGGGCAATATGTCTGTTGCACTTCTTTCGCACCATGTGTAGCCAACCGAGCTAATCGGAGGTGCAGGGTCTAATCGGAGGGATGCCTTCGAGCAGTGGGCTGATACTGGTAGAAACGAAGTGAACCAGCCTACAATAAATTTCGATTTAAAGCTTTCGTGACTGCAGGGATCCATCTTCTTGGTTCTTTGGGTAAAGTCACGTAGAAGGGAAGTAATAAAATAATAAAAATAAAACATAATAAAATAATTCTCACGACGTTTCGGCTACAACGCAAGCAGCCAGTCTTCAGGTGAAGAATGAGACACTGCCAAGCTAGGAGCTTCCAACCCAGCGTATATATAAGCTCCTAGCTTGGTAGTGTCTCATTCTTCACCTGAAGACGGCTGCTTGCGTTGTAGCCGAAACGTCGTGAGAATTATTTTATTTTATTATGTTTTATTTTTATTATTTTATTACTTCCCTTCTACGTGACTTTACCCAAAGAACCAAGAAGACAGCCTACAATAGATTATACCGTCCGTCCGATGTCCGATTAGGTGTAGCAACATCGCCCCCTACTGCAAACACTTGGCAGGACCCTACAAAAACCTTTCGACTCAGTGAGGCTTTCCTGGCTAAACAAGTGTAACATTCCCTTATAATTCCCTGAGATAGTTTTTAATTAAAACATTTAAATTAAAAATTAACTCACAGCGGCCTAAAGCCTACAGCTAGGCCTAAAGCCTAGAACTAGGCCTCAAACTCTCCCTTCGTATCGTACCCCCGCGTGTGTGAAAGGGAGTTAATGTTTAACAGTGTTACATTCCCTGATGTTTTTAAATAGAAACATTTAAATTTAAAGCTTTTACATTAATAATTAAAACATTTTAATTAAAAATTAACTCAAAGCGGCCTAAAGCCTACAGCTAGGCCTAAAGCCTAGAACTAGGCCTCAAACTCTCCCTTCGTATCGTATTTGTTCGTTCCTACCAGCCCACCCCGCAGGGACCTGTTAATAATCTTGATTTGAAGTTTTCGTGACTGCAGGAATCCATACTCTTTGGTTCTTTCGGTAAAGTCACGTTTCGATCGCCACACATCCTCAGGACGATCCCTTGTGTGGCGATTGAAACGTCGTGATATAGTATTATTTTTCTACGTGATTTTACCGAAAGAACCAGTATGGATTGTTAATGGCTGATGTTTTTATATTTGTAAGTCATTGGTAACTCAATTCTGCTACACTTGCCAACCCGGTTTAAATCACGGGCGGACGAAACTTGTTTTCGAACTCATGATCTCAGCGATGCCAGCTCGGCTTTCTGAACTCGGCGCCACCATGTGTTTGTGGTTTAGTTTGTTGGTGCGGGAGGGACGGAGGGAGCCGAGAGATGGAGGGGAGGGGTGGAGTCATCGGAGCAGCAGCAGGAGAAGCGAGCGACTCCATGAAAGAGCCGCTTCTGGGCTCACGTGGTGGTGGTGGTGGCGGCGGTGGTGGACGGCTGGAAGAGCGAGGTGGTGACTACGAGGAGGATGAGGAGGGAGAAGGGGAGTTGGATCCGCATGTGGTGGAGCAATACTACAGGTGCGACGTCGCATGCGCACACAACGCGTACGTGTGTGTGTTGAACTTCTTTCGCAGGTGAGTAGGTAGGTGAGTGAATGAATGATTGAGTGGAGCGGGTAGGCACGCGGATGAGAGTTGAGTTGCCGAGCAGGCGAGTAGGTAGGTATATGCACGTTGAACTTCTTTCGCGCCGTACATAGCCAACCGTGCTCATTGGAGGCGCGGGGGAAGGACAACAAACCAAACACAAGAAGCAGCTGTAAAATACGACACTCCACTGCCGATGTACGATACTCTGCAGTGCCAATTGGACAAACGGGCTTTTTCAACTGCGGGCTACATATGACCCATGAGCTACTTTGAGGTTGGGAATAGGAGAGAAGGAAGAGGTGGTGATGGGTGGGACGCGTGGTGTGCAGGGTGAAGAAGGGCAGGTTCAGAATATCTATTCGTGATGGAGGAATCCGATGATCTATGAAGCACTTTTTCACAGGTGTCCAGTTGGGGCACGGGGTAAGACCGTTACAACAACAAACAATACAAAATGATAATAGTGCAAAATACAAGATAGGTAAACGGATCGCCCAAATCTTCTTGGTTCTTTCGGTAAAGTCACGTAGAAGGGAAGTAATAAAATAATGAAAATAAAACATTTTATTACTTCCCTTCCTCGTGACTTTACCGAAAGAACCAAGAAGATGAAACCCTGCAGTCACGAAAGCTTTAAATCGAAAGATCACCCAAAGACATACAAATAATACTAAACCATCCCCATCCTACCAGGCAAAGCCCACTGAGGTATTAACTTGTGTTTCAGAAGCGACCTGGCCACCACAAATGACAGCTCAACAAAGTGGCACCATCATTTGGACATTTGTAGCAGCCAAAATAATAAAAAATCAACGCAATGCGTGTTTCTAAATGTGGAGGGAAAAACCAGCCATGGCTTTGTCACCCATTCCAATTTTTGTTAAAAGTAATTTCGATGGACGTCTTAGGTTTCCTGGATTTGACAATGGGGTTAAGGAATTAGCTAAGTGCAGATTTGACATTTAAAGCAGCTCAAGGGGTGCGGTAATTGGTCAGGTGGGCCCCCCCCCTCCCCAATATTTTATTTGCGGAAGCCAAAACGTTACCGCTCTAGTTAAATGAATAAAAACGTGGAACGTAAATGAAATAATTTTTTATAAAAATACAATTTAAACCGCGTTTGAAATAAGTTTGATGCTGTTTTTACACTGTTTTTGAAAACAAATCTCGGTGGCTTGGACATGTTTTCTCCCTCGCCTGATAAACAGGAGGTCGTGGGTTTGCTCCTGACCCTGACACGAGATGTTATCTCCCTCGCCTGATAAACAGGAGGGTGTGGGTTCCATCCCGACCTTGACACGCTGTGGCTATGAGATGTTTACTACCTCGCCTGGTATCAAGGAGGTCATGCAAACTCCAAATACACGCCTGCTGTATATTTGGAGTTTCCACGTCTCTCTCTCCCCGTGGTCACGTGGATTTTTCTCCAGGCCCTCGGGTGTTTTTTTAGCTCGTTACGCTACTGACAATCGCTGTTGTGTTGGCTGTGACGAACCTGCTGACCTCGGCCGAAAAGCACCGCTCGGCAAAAGAAGTCACATGTGCACACGGCGTTCTCAAATTCTGTACGTGACGAGAGAGAGAGAGAGAGAGGAAAAACAACAAGGCTTACAGAATAATAGCGCCGGCCGGAAGAAAAAAAAAACCTGAGTTTCAAACAACTTTGCACGGAACCACGTAAATAGCAAACCGGTGCATGATCTGAAAGAAAAAAACATGCGGAAGGAGTTCCACGGTTCTTTTGTCTGGTCACCTGCTCCACCCCACCCCTCCCCTACCCCCCTTCCTCCCCTCCCACTCTCCTCACCCCTGACCTCACCTCCCCTTCCCATTGCATCTCTCCCAACCGCAGCAAGGTGCAGAACGGGCGCCTGTACTTGGCTGTGCTGAGCACGGCTCTGGGGCCGCTGAGCCTGGGACTGACGCTGGGGTACAGCTCCCCGGCCATCCCCGACCTCGAGCTCAGCCCCGAGGCCCAGCTCAGGCTGAGCCCTGCGCAGGTGTCGTGGTTCGGGGTGAGTGGCCACTGTGTGGGAGCCACGGTGGCTAGGAGATGTTAACTACCTCGCCTGGTGTGCAGGAGGTCGTGGGTTCGATCCCGACCCTGACGCCTGCTGCTGTATATTTGGAGTTTGCGTGTCTCTCTCTCTCTCTCATCATCATCATCACGGTGGCTAGGAGATGTTAACTACCTCGCCTTGTGTGCAGGAGGTCGTGGGTTCGATCCCGACCCTGACACCTGCTGTATATTTGGAGTTTGCGTGTCTCTCTCTCTCATCATCATCACGGTGGCTAGGAGATGTTAACTACCTCACCTGGTATACAGGGGGTCGTGGGTTCCATCCCGATCCTGACACCTGCTGTATATTTGGAGTTTGCGTGTCTCTTTCTCTCATCATCATCACGGTGGCTAGGAGATGTTAACTACCTCGCCTGGTATACAGGAGGTCGTGGGTTCCATCCCGACCCTGACACCTGCTGTATATTTGGAGTTTGCGTGTCTCTCTCTCTCATCATCATCACGGTGGCTAGGAGATGTTAACTACCTCGCCTGGTATACAGGAGGTCATGGGTTCCATCCCGATCCTGACACCTGCTGTATATTTGGAGTTTGCGTGTCTCTTTCTCTCATCATCATCACGGTGGCTAGGAGATGTTAACTACCTCGCCTGGTATACAGGAGGTCGTGGGTTCCATCCCGACCCTGACACCTGCTGTATATTTGGAGTTTGCGTGTCTCTCTCTCTCATCATCATCACGGTGGCTAGGAGATGTTAAGTACCTCGCCTGGTGTGCAGGAGGTCGTGGGTTCGATCCCGACCCTGACACCTGCTGTATATTTGGAGTTTGCGTGTCTCTCTCTCTCATCATCATCACGGTGGCTAGGAGATGTTAACTACCTCACCTGGTATACAGGAGGTCGTGGGTTCCATCCCGATCCTGACACCTGCTGTATATTTGGAGTTTGCGTGTCTCTCTCTCTCATCATCATCACGGTGGCTAGGAGATGTTAAGTACCTCGCCTGGTGTGCAGGAGGTCGTGGGTTCGATCCCGACCCTGACACCTGCTGTATATTTGGAGTTTGCGTGTCTCTCTCTCTCATCATCATCACGGTGGCTAGGAGATGTTAACTACCTCACCTGGTATACAGGAGGTCGTGGGTTCCATCCCGATCCTGACACCTGCTGTATATTTGGAGTTTGCGTGTTTCTTTCTCTCATCATCATCACGGTGGCTAGGAGATGTTAACTACCTCGCCTTGTGTGCAGGAGGTCGTGGGTTCGATCCCGACCCTGACACCTGCTGTATATTTGGAGTTTGCGTGTCTCTCTCTCTCATCATCATCACGGTGGCTAGGAGATGTTAACTACCTCGCCTGGTATACAGGAGGTCATGGGTTCCATCCCGATCCTGACACCTGCTGTATATTTGGAGTTTGCGTGTCTCTTTCTCTCATCATCATCACGGTGGCTAGGAGATGTTAACTACCTCGCCTGGTATACAGGAGGTCGTGGGTTCCATCCCGACCCTGACACCTGCTGTATATTTGGAGTTTGCGTGTCTCTCTCTCTCATCATCATCACGTTGGCTAGGAGATGTTAACTACCTCGCCTTGTGTGCAGGAGGTCGTGGGTTCGATCCCGACCCTGACACCTGCTGTATATTTGGAGTTTGCGTCTCTTTCTCTCATCATCATCACGGTGACTAGGAGATGTTAACTACCTCGCCTGGTATACAGGAGGTCGTGGGTTCCATCCCGATCCTGACACCTGCTGCTGTATATTTGGAGTTTGCGTGTCTCTCTCTCTCATCATCATCACGGTGGCTAGGAGATGTGTCTGTTGAACTTGTATCTCACCGTACACAGCCAACCACTCTAATCGGAGGTCCGGGATTTCACAACGGCATTAGAACCATCGGCGGCGAGTGACACGCGTGTTAACGCGCGCGTGACGTCCGCACCCCCGTCCCCTGTCCTCCCAGTCGCTGGTGACGATCGGCGCGGTGCTGGCGGGGCCGCTGGCGGGGCTGCTGGTGGAGCGCCTGGGCAGGAAGCCGACGCTGATGCTGAGCTCCGTGCCGTTCGTGTTCGGCTGGCTGCTGCTGATGACGGCGCAGAGCCCCGGGGCGCTGTACGCGGGCCGCACCCTCACGGGGCTAGCGGGGGGCACCGCGTCGCTCGTCGTACCCGTGAGTGGACACGGTGGCCCCCCCCCCCCCCCCCCCCCCCCCCCCCCCCCCCCCCCCACACGCGCGAGTCTGCGTACAGATGTAGTGACATATGACGTCACTACTGTGTCGGCCTGTACGAGGGCTGGGGGCTCTAAGGGGGTGCCTGGGGGGTCACGTGGTGGAGGGACCCAGACCTCCCGGTAGGCGTGGCCTGGGCAGGGAGGCGTGGCCTGGGCAGGGAGGCGTGGCCTGGGCAGGGAGGCGTGGCCTGGGCAGAGCCGGCCATGCCAGAGCAGATATAAGCATGGTGTGAACGCAGAGCGAGGCTGTTGAACTCCGCAGTGAAGACGACATCATCGCTCCTCAAGTCCCGGGTCGTCGTCCTGGGCCAGGCAGCCCGCAGCCTGCCTGGTCCACTCTGTGTCGTGTCCCAGAGTGTTAGTGAGTTGAGGAAGGTGGTCACCACCTCATGTACGGTGTTATATTACTTACCGTTTAATACATAGTGTTGCCTCCAAGCTGTGTGTGTGTGTGTGCACCTAATTCGAACCCACTACACAAAGACAACGTCCTTGTCTTTGTGGCAGTACGCAGCACCGATCTTCCACTTCACGATACATTTTTCAGATGCAGATTCACACGCGCCCCCCACTCATGGGCACGGTGCCCCCCCCCTGCCGCCCCCTACCCTACCCCCAAACCCTCCCTAACCCCCCACCCCACCCCCCAGGTGTACATCTCAGAGGTCTCTCACCCAGCGGTGCGCGGAGCCCTCGGCTCCTGCATGCAGCTCATGGTGGTGCTGGGCATCTTCACGGCCTACGCCGCCGGTGAGAGTCGCGGCACACTCGCCACGGCAATGCTCACCGTGGTGATGTTCAGTACCGTGGCACTCACCGCCAGACTCGCCGTGATACTCAGTACCGTGGCACTCACCGCCAGACTCGCCGTGATACTCAGTACCGTGGCACTCGCCACGGCGATGCTCACCGTGGTGAGCTCCTGCGGCCGTCTGGAACGCTGTTCCGATATTAGGAAGCCGCTGGAGGGAGCAATGCACTTTTAAATAATCTCCGTTGAAAACGAATTCCTTTAGAACTGCTTGTTGTTGTGTTTATATTCTTAGGTTTTTTCTCAACCAGTATATACACGGGGTAGTATCCCTTGGAATCTCTCATTTACTTGATACAGCTATCGTGCTGTGACGGTTCCACCTGAAGACGGAAGCTTGTGTTGTCTCCGAAACGTCGTGATTTTTATTTTTAATTTTTAATTATTTTATTTTACTTTTATTAATTTTAATTTTTTACCTACGTGACTTTACCGAAAAAACCTAAGAATATGAATCCTTGCCGTCACGAAAGCTTCAGATCTAGAATTGTTGTCTTCTTGGTTCTTTCGGTAAAGTCACGTAGAATGGAAATAATAAAATAATAAAAATAAAACATAATAAAATAATTCTCACGACGTTTCGGCCACAACGCAAGCAGCCGTCCTCAGGTGAAGACCAGGTCTGTCGGGGAGACAGCGTTTTATTTTTATTATTTTATTACTTCCCTTCTACGTGACTTTACCGAAAGAACCAAGAAGATGAATCCCTGCAGTCACGAAAGCTTTAAATCGAAATTTTGTCTTTGGTTCTTTCGGCAAAGTGGTGGAACAACCACAGCGCATGATGACGGACGCTTGTGTGTTGCGCCCGAAACGTCGTGATTTAATTAATTTGTTTGAAACACACGTGACTTTACCGAAAGAACCAAGAAGATGAATCCCTGCAGTCACGAAAGCTTTACATCGAAATTACAATTGTTGTGTTTAATTTGCAGTCCATCCCCCGCACCTACGATTAGCGCGGCTGACTACTTAGAAGTTCAACGTACACCCCCCCCCTGCCCGCCCCCCCCTCTCCGCTGATGAGGCTTGATCCTCGGCTGGCGCTGGCTGGCCGTACTGTGCGCCGTGCCACCCACGCTGATGCTGCTGCTGCTCGTTGCCGTCGTGCCGGAGTCTCCGCGGTTCCTGCTGAGCCGTCCCCGGCGCCGAGCTGAGGCCGTGGCAGGCGCTGACGGTGCTGCGGGGAGACGCCGTGGACGTCCGCACCGAGATCCGGCTCATCCGGCAAGGGCAGCAGCAGCAGCAGCAGGTCGTGAACCTTTCCCTCATCTGACTAGGACTACAAATCCCTTCGTGGTCTTGCCACACCGTCGGAGGTCGCAAACGGGTTTTGATTCATCTTCTTGGTTCTTTCGGTAAAGTCACGTAGAATGGAAGTAATAAAATAATAAAAATTAAAACTTGATAAAACACAACGCAAGCAGCCGTCCTCAGGTGGAGAACAGGTCTGTCGAGAAGACAGAGTCTGAATGATTTATTTTATTATTTCCATTCTACGTGACTTTACCGAAAGAACCAAGAAGATGAATCCCTGCAGTCACGAAAGCTTTAAATCGGGTTTTGATTCCTTACCCGTACCCGTACCCGGCCGCACCAAGGTCGCAAACGGGTACCCGTACCCGTACCGGCCGGGTACGGGTAGCCGGGTATCGGGTAGGCTACGGTGATGATGCTGCTGCTTATGATGACAATGCTGATGCTTATGATGACGACGACGCTGCTGATGATGATGATGCTGATGATGTCCCCCCCCCTCCGTGCAGGAGCGGCTGAGCTGGTGGGAGCTGCGCATGCCCATCCTGTACAAGCCGCTGGCCGTCACCGTGCTGCTGCTGATGCTGATGATGATGCTGATGATACTGATTATGATGCTGATGATGCTGATGATGCTGATGATGATGACGTCCTTCACCGTGCAGGAGCGGCTGAGCTGGCGGGAGCTGCGCATGCCCGTCCTCTACAAGCCGCTGGCCGTCACCGTGCTGCTGATGACGCTGCAGCAGTTCTCGGGGATCAACGCGGTGATGCTGTACGCAGAGTCCATCTTCAGGGCGGCGAACATCCAGGTGGCGAGCACACGGAACGGCGGCGATGACGCGGACAAAGTCTTCTTGGTTCTTTCGGTAAAGTCACGTAGAAGGGAAATAATAAAGTTATAAAAATAAAACACAATAATATACAATTCTCACGACGTTTCGGCCACAACGCAAGCAGCCGTCCTTCAGGTGAAGAACAGGTCTGTCGGAAAGGCAGCGTCTGAATGAACACCACCAGGCTTGGAAGCGTATATTTAAGCTGGGTTGAAGGGGGAAGAGCGCCTTGACCCAGCTTAAATATACGCTGCCAAGCCTGGCGGTGTTTCATTCAGACGCTGTCTTCCCGACAGACCTGTTCTTCACCTGAGGACGGCTGCTTGCGTCGTGGCCGAAACGTCGTGAGAATAATTTTATTATGTTTTGTTTTTATTATTTTATTATTTCCCTTCTACGTGACTTTACCGAAAGAACCAAGAAGATGAATCGCTGCAGTCACGAAAGAAGCTTTAACGCGGACAAAGTCGTTTATGACGAGCGGCTCCGGGCCTACCCCGGGTCGACTCGGCCTCAAATGAGCACCTGGCGAAGCGTGTCTAGAACATCGCCACTGGGGAGACGATGGCGGCCCTTCCGGTTCGCCAGAGGTCGCAACCGTGTACCCGATACCCGTACCCTACCCGATACCCGGCTACCCGTACCCGGCCGGGTACGGGTAGCCGTTTGTGACCCTGGTGCGGCCGGGTACGGGTACGAGTAGGCCGTGAGTCACTGGTGAGTCACCGTTTGTCACTCATTTCCCAACGTCTTGTCTCTTCTCACAATTCAAGTTCCTAGAATCAACCCACCCGCGCCTGCAACATGGCTTCATCCCAGAGGTCGCAATCGGGTACCCGATACCCGTACCCTACCCGTACCCGGCCGGGTACGGGTACGGTCGGGTACAGGTACGGGTACCTGTTTGCGACCCTGCTGCGGCCAGGTACGGGTACGGGTATGGAATCAAAACCCGTTTGCGACCTCTGACGTTCGCGTGCCGTGCCGGCCTTCATGGGTGCTCTAACAGCGCCTGCCCCGACAGTCCCTTCAGGCTATGCGGGCGATCTTTTGTCCTTGTGTGTTGAATTTCTTTCGCGCAGTACGTAGCCAGCCGCGCTAATCGGAGGTGCGGGATTAGAAATCGCGTTCGGTGGCGAGTGACGTGTGTATGTATGTATGTGTGTACGTGTGTAACGTGTGTGTATGTGTATGTGTGTGTGTGTACGTATATGTTCGTGTGTGTATGTATGTGTAACTTGTATACGTGTGTGTATGTGTCTGTACGTGTGTAACGTGTGTGTAACGTGTACGTGTGTGTGTGTGTGTAACGTGTATGTGTGTACTTGTGTGTTTGTGTATAACGTGTGTACGTGTGTGTATGTGTGTGTACGTGTGTACGTGTGTAACGTGTGTACGTGTGTACGTGTGTGTACGTGTGTGTACGTGTGTGTAACGTGTGTACGTGTGTGTCACGTGTGTGTCACGTGTGTGCAGAACAGTGCGGAGGCGCCCGTGATGATCGCCGCGGTGCAGGTTGTCGTCACGCTCCTCTCCGGGTTCCTCATGGACCGTGCCGGACGCAAGCTGCTGCTGTGCCTCTCTGGTTCGTCTCACTCACTCACTCACCCACACACTCACTCTCTTACTCACTCACACTCACTCACACACTCACTCACTCACACACTCACTCACTCTCTCACTCACACACTCACACACTCATTCACTCACTCACTCACACACTCACACACTCACACACTCATTCACTCACTCACTCACACACTCACACACTCACTCACTCACACTCACTCACTCACACACTCACACACTCACACACTCATTCACTCACTCACTCACACACTCATTCACTCACTCACTCACACACTCACACACTCACTCACTCACACACTCACACACTCACTCACTCACACTCACTCACTCACACTCACTCACACACTCACTCACACACTCACTCACACACTCACTCACACACTCACTCTCTTACTCACTCACACACTCACTCACACACTCACACACACTCACTCACACACTCACTCTCTCACTCACTCACACACTCACTCACACACTCACTCACACACTCACTCACACACTCACTCACACACTCACTCACACACTCACTCTCTTACTCACTCACACACTCACCCACACACTCACACTCACTCACTCACACACTCACTCTCTTACTCACTCACTCACACACTCATTCACTCACTCACTCACTCACACACTCACACTCACTCACTCACACACTCACTCTCTTACTCACACACTCACTCACACACTCACTCACACACTCACTCACCCACACACTCACACTCACTCACTCACACACTCACACACTCACTCACTCACACTCACTCACACACTCACTCTCTTACTCACTCACACTCACTCACACACTCACTCACACACTCACTCATTCACTGACTCACTCACTCAGACATTCACTCAATCACTCACACACTCATTCACTGACTCACTCACTCACACACTCACTCTCTTACTCACTCACTCACACACTCACACTCACTCACACTCACTCATTCACTCATGGACCGTGCCGGCCGCAAGCTCCTGCTGTGCCTCTCTGGTTCGTCTCACTCACTCACTCACCCACACACTCACACTCACTCACTCACACACTCACTCTCTTACTCACTCACTCACACACTCACTCTCTTACTCACTCACACTCACTCACACACTCGCTCACTCACTCACACACTCACTCACTCACACACTCACTCACTCATTCACTCACACTCACTCACTCACACACTCACTCTCTTACTCACTCACACTCACTCACACACTCACTCATTCACTCACTCACTCACACACTCATTCACTCACTCACTCACTCACTCACTCACACACTCACTCACTCACTCACCCACTCACTCATTCACACACTCACTCATTCACTCATTCACTCACTCACACACTCACTCATTCACTCACTCACTCACTCACTCACACACTCACTCACTCACTCACTCATTCACTCACTCACTCACTCACTCATTCACTCACTCACTCACACACTCATTCATTCACTCACACACTCACACACACTCACACACTCACTCACTCACACACTCACTCACACACTCACTCTCTTACTCACTCACACACTCACTCACACACTCACACACACTCACTCACACACTCACTCTCTTACTCACTCACACACTCACTCACACACTCACTCACACACTCACTCACACACTCACTCACACACTCACTCACACACTCACTCTCTTACTCACTCACACACTCACCCACACACTCACACTCACTCACTCACACACTCACTCTCTTACTCACTCACTCACACACTCATTCACTGACTCACTCACTCACACACTCACACTCACTCACTCACACACTCACTCTCTTACTCACACACTCACTCACACACTCACTCACACACTCACTCACCCACACACTCACACTCACTCACTCACACACTCACACACTCACTCACTCACACTCACTCACACACTCACTCTCTTACTCACTCACACTCACTCACACACTCACTCACACATTCACTCATTCACTGACTCACTCACTCAGACATTCACTCAATCACTCACACACTCATTCACTGACTCACTCACTCACACACTCACTCTCTTACTCACTCACTCACACACTCACACTCACTCACACTCACTCATTCACTCATGGACCGTGCCGGCCGCAAGCTCCTGCTGTGCCTCTCTGGTTCGTCTCACTCACTCACTCACCCACACACTCACACTCACTCACTCACACACTCACTCTCTTACTCACTCACTCACACACTCACTCTCTTACTCACTCACACTCACTCACACACTCGCTCACTCACTCACACACTCACTCACTCACACACTCACTCACTCACACACTCACACTCACTCACTCACACACTCACTCTCTTACTCACTCACACTCACTCACACACTCACTCATTCACTCACTCACTCACACACTCATTCACTCACTCACTCACACACTCACTCACACACTCACTCACTCACTCACACACTCACTCATTCACACACTCACTCATTCACTCACTCATTCACTCACTCACTCACTCACTCACTCATTCACTCACTCATTCACTCACTCACACACTCACTCACTCACACACTCATTCACTCACTCACTCACACACTCATTCACTCACTCACTCACACACTCATTCATTCACTCACTCACTGACACACACTCACACACTCACTCACTCACACACTCACTCACACACTCACTCACTCACACACTCACTCACACACTCACTCACACACTCACTCACTCACTCACACACTCACTCACACACTCACACACTCACTCACTCACACACTCACACACTCACTCACTCACACACTCACTCACTCACTCACACACTCACTCACACACTCACACACACTCACTCACACACTCACACACTCACACACTCACTCACACACACACTCACTCACACACTCACTCACACACTCACACACACACTCACTCACACACTCACACACACACTCACTCACACACTCACTCACTCACTCACACACTCACTCACACACTCACTCACACACTCACACACTCACTCACACACTCACTCACACACTCACTCACACACTCACACTCTCTCACTCACACACTCACTCACTCACTCTCTCACTCACACACACTCACTCACACACTCACACTCACTCACTCACACACTCACACTCACTCACACACACTCACTCACACACTCACACACTCACTCAATCACTCACTCACACACTCTCACACTCACTCACACACTCACTCACACACTCACACACTCTCCCACACACACTCACACACTCACTCACACACTCACTCACTCATTCACTCACTCACTCACACACTCACTCACACACACTCACACACACTCACACACTCACTCACACTCACTCACTCACACACTCACACATTCACTCATTCACTCATTCACTCACTCACTCACACACTCACACACACTCACTCACACACTCACTCACACACTCACACACACACACTCACACACTCACACACACACACTCACTCACTCACTCACACACTCACTCACTCACACTCACCCACTCACACTCACCCACCCACTCACTCACACACTCACTCACACACTCACACTCACTCACTCATGGACCGTGCCGGCCGCAAGCTCCTGCTCTGTCTCTCCGGTTCGTCGCTACCCCCGGCGCTCCGGGACTCATTCACTCACTCACTCTCTTACTCACTCGCACACACACTCACACACACACTCACACACTCACACTCACTCTCTTACTCACTCGCACACACACTCACACACTCACACTCACTCTCTTACTCACTGACTCATTCACTCACTCACTCTCTTACTCACTCACTCGCACACACACTCACACACTCACACTCGCTCTCTTACTCACTGACTCTCTCACTCACTCACTCTCTTACTCACACACTCACTCACACACTCACACTCACTCACCAACTCACTCACTCTCTTACTCACTCTCTTACTCACACACTCACTCACACACTCACACTCACTCACCAACTCACTCACTCTCTTACTCACTCTCTCACTCACACACTCACACTCACTCGCACTCACTCATTCACTCACACTCACTCACCAACTCACTCACTCTCTTACTCACTCTCTTACTCACACGCTCACACACACTCACTCGCACTCACACATTCACTCACACACTCACACACTCACTCACACTCACTCATTCACTCACACTCACTCACACTCACTCACTCACACTCACTCACTCACACTCACTCTCTTACTCACTCTCACTCACTCACACTCACTCTCTTACTCACTCACACTTACTCACTCACTCACACACTCACTCACTTTCTTACTCACACACACTCACACACACTCACACACACTCACACACACTTACTCATTCACTCACTCACTTTCTTACTCACACTCACTTTCTCACTCACTCACTCACACCTACTCACACTCACTCTCACTCACTGTTTTACTTACACTCACTCACTCACACACTCACTCACTCTCATTCACTCACTCACTCTCATTCACTCACTCACTCACTCACCCTCTCACTCCGCCGACTCGCACTACAGCGCTCACGTGACAGCCCCAGCAACAACAAACAACGACAGCCGCTGTCCGCCACTCGGTGACGTCACCACGGGGCCTGCGCCCGGCCTGCTTGGCCAGACAAACGGGGTGGTGGTGGGGGGGGTGTCCAGAACTGGTGCTGACGAAGCTGCCGATGCTTCGGGCACGCACAGCGAAACGTCGGACATCGCTCCGAACAACACCCGATCACACGTTTGATCTGTTTGACACGGAGGGGGCTTTCGCGACCAATATTATTCGCAATAAAGTGTTTTTTTTTCTTGGGGTTAGATCGCGTCAATATAAACGCGTCGTGAACCGACCCACCACCCGACACGGCCAAATTAGCGAGGTTATCTCGCGTAAACAAAACGCGCCAATTAGTTAACGACTTCAGCACTCACCGGCCTTGTGTTGGAGAGTTAAACCCACAACAACATTTACAATTTGTGTAGCGCAACGTCTCTCTGGGCGATTACAACAACGACGACGACAACAACAACAACAACGACATAAACAAATGGTCTCATCGGGCGAAATTTTCCACGGTTGTGATCTGTTGTGGGGCCTTCCGCCAACGCAACTGTGAGAACGATAGCACTGGGCACCACGGTGGCTAGGAGATGTTAACTACCTCGCCTGGTATGCAGGAGGTCGTGGGTTCGATCCTGACCCTGACGCCTGCTGCTGTGTATTTGGAGTTTGCGTGTCTCTCTCTCTCATCATCACCACGGTGGCTAGGAGATGTTAACTACCTCGCCTGGTATGCAGGAGGTCGTGGGTTAGATTCTTACCCTGACGCTTGCTGCTGGTTCTTTCGGTAAAGTCACGTAGAGGGGAAATAATAAAATAATACAAATATTACATTATAAAATATAATTATTTTTATTAATAATAATAAAATAATAAGATTCAAATATTTTGTTATGTTTTATTTTATTTATCTTATTTATTTTATTACTTCCCTTCTACGTGACTTTACCGAAAGAACCAACAATATGAATCCCTGCAGTCACGAAAGCTTTAAATCGAAAAATAAAAAAAAGTTTAGTTTTTGAGTTTCATTTCTCTCCCCCCACCCTGCCCCACCCGCCCCACCCACCCCGCCCGCCAGGGGTCATCATGGCCGCCAGCGCCGCGACCTTTGGAGCCTACTTCAAGCTGACGGGGTCGGGCGGCAACGGGACGCTGGGCGCCCTGGACCTTGCATTGCCGTACGCCGGCGGGGCCCCGGACCATGAGTTGGCGATGGAGGGGGCGGCGAGCACGGGCTCGCTCGGCTGGCTGGCGCTCGCCAGCATGCTCCTCTACATCGTAGGTGCGGGCGCACGCAAAGACAAAGGTCCCCCGCGCAGCCTTCTGACAGGCTCGTCGGGGGGGCAAGTGCCGATAGCGAGCGGCACCTGATGAAGTCCGGAACGGGCCCGACCGCCTTTGTCTCCGCAATGGCGATACTTGCACACGCACACACAAAGACACGCACACACAAGGACAACATCTCCTGCATCGTGATATCCCCTTGCATTGTCTCCCCGTGTCCCACCTGGTGCAGGCTTCTCGCTGGGCTGGGGTCCCATCCCCTGGATCGTGATGTCCGAGGTGTTCCCTGTGCGCTGGAGGGGGGTCGCGAGCGGCGTGTGCGTCGCCGTCAACTGGACCTCGGCGTTCGTCGTCACCAAGGAGTTCCACGACTTCAGCGTGAGAAGCGGAACGCGCGGAAGCAGCAGCAGCGTCATCGTCAGCATCAGCGTCATCGTCAGCATCAGCAGCAGCAGCATCATCAGCAGCAGCAGCATCATCAGCATCAGCAGCGTCAGCGGCAGCAGCATCATCACCAGCATCGTTGTCATTAGCGTCATCATCATCATCAGCAGCAGCAGCATCATCAGCATCAGCAGCGGCAGCAGCATCATCACCAGCATCGTTGTCATTAGCGTCATCATCAGCATCAGCAGCATCATCAGCATCAGCAGCGTCAGCGGCAGCAGCATCATCACCAGCATCGTTGTCATTAGCGTCATCATCAGCATCAGCACCAGTAGCAGGATCAGCCACATCATCATCAGCATCATTGTCATTAGCATCATCACCAGCAGCAGCATCATCATCAGCGGCATCAAGATTATTCACCCACACCTCCCGTTTTCCCGCACCTCCGATTTCGCGCGGTTGGCTTCGTATGGTGCGAAAGACTTTAGTACGTACGTACAGCACCATCATCACCATCATCATCACCATCATCACCACCATCATCACCATCATCATCACCATCATCACCGTCAACACCATCATCACCGTCATCATCACCGTCAACACCATCATCATCACCGTCAACACCACCATCATCACCATCACCACCATCACCACCACCATCGCCAGCACCGTCAACATCATGGGCATCGCGATCGCGTCGTCAGCAGCAGCGGCAGCAGCGCCGCCGTTACTATTTGCAGCACCGACGACATCGTCGGCACCGTCAAAAACACCAAGATTACCGCCGCCATCATTACTCTCACTCGCAACATCCCCTATATCAGCATCACTACAGACATTTTCAGCAATAACAGCGCCAACCAATACCACCACCACAACCACCGTCACCAACACTACTACCATCACCACTTGCACCAGCACCACCACTCATACCTACAGCACCACAACCACTGTCACTACCACCATCACCACTTGCACCAGCACCACCACTCATACCAACAGCACCATCACCAACACCACCACCTCTATAGCATTCTCAGCTGTAACACGACTCGTCACCAGTACCACCACCAACACCACCAGGGCTGTAATCCCATACTCATACTATGGATTCCCTCCCCCCGTGACCCCACTGTGACCTCCCCTTTGTGCCCCACTACCCCCTTCCTTGTGCAGGAGTGGTTGGGTTTCCCCGGCGCGTTCTGGTTCTTCGCCAGCGTGTGCGCGGCCGGGTTCGTGCTGACGATCGTCGCCCTTCCCGAAACCAAAGGGCGATCCCTCGAGCAGATCCAGGCGCACTTCGAGGGGCGACCATCGCCCCTCTCTCCTCCACCGCCACCACTCGCTGCTTCCTCAACCCCTGCTGCAGCAGCAGCAGCAGGTTCACTTGGCCAAGCTGCTGTGACTGGGGCAGGGGATGAACTCTCGGTGCAAGAACCCTGAGGCTTGAGGGTGGTGGAGTTTTTGGTGGTGGTGTTGGTTGGGGTGGTAGTGGTGGTGTGAAAGTTGGGAGGTGGTTGTGATGGTGGTAGCAGTGGTGATGATGTTGGCAGTGAGAGTTGGAGGTAGTGATGGTGGTTGTGGTGGAGGAGTTGGTGGTCATGACGGAGGAGTTTGTGGTGATCGAGACGACTTGGAGTTATTTTGTTTCATTGAAATATTTTGCCTGGAAACTCGCTTGAGATGGAACCAATCCCGATCGCAAGGGCCATCTCTGGTTGTCGATTGGCACCTTACAGAGCAAACACACACGACCGCACGTGTACAAACATTCTAAATCTATATCTTAGACTTACAGAAGGACTCGCCGAATATTGATTCTATGAATCACTACGATTTAGCATCAGTGATCGATATTTTTTATCGTAGTTATCCAATCGCTGCGACGTTCACTCGTCGCCGTGAGAACATATTTTCTCGGAGTAAAAAACAAAAAAAGCGAATGGGTTTTAATCACAAATGTTTCGAAGTGATCGTACGTGATTCCATTTAAAATAATCGAATCGTGATTTGATTTTTTTTGTACCAGATGCGCGCATCGATGCGCGTTATCGTGAGCGGTGGCACAGCGGTTAACAGCCTCGGTTTATCATCCTGGCAAAGGCTAACGCCGTTGGCGAAGTGGTATCTGAACCTTGAAACCAGCTGTATGTATGTAATCTGAACTTCTTTCGCACCCTATGTAGTCAACCGCGTTAATCGGAGGTGCAGTGTTGAGTCTATGGGCAGTGTTGAGTCTATGGGTGGTGTTGAGTCTATGGGCGGTGTTGAGTCTATGGGCGGTGTTGAGTCTATGGGCAGTGTTGAGTCTATGGGTAGTGTTGAGTCTATGGGTAGTGTTGAGTCTATGGGCAGTGTTGAGTCTATGGGTAGTGTTGAGTCTATGGGTAGTGTTGAGTCTATGGGTAGTGTTGAGTCTATGGGCAGTGTTGAGTCTATGGGTAGTGTTGAGTCTATGGGTAGTGTTGAGTCTATGGGCAGTGTTGAGTCTATGGGCGGTGTTGAGTCTATGGGCAGTGTTGAGTCTATGGGTAGTGTTGAGTCTATGGGTAGTGTTGAGTCTATGGGCAGTGTTGAGTCTATGGGCAGTGTTGAGTCTATGGGCAGTGTTGAGTCTATGGGTAGTGTTGAGTCTATGGGCAGTGTTGAGTCTATGGGCAGTGTTGAGTCTATGGGCAGTGCAGAGTCTATGGGTAGTGTTGAGTCTATGGGCAGTGTTGAGTCTGGGCGGTATGTATGTTAAACTTATTTCACACTGTACACAACCAACCATGCTAATCGGAGGGGCAGTGTTGAGTCTGGGCGGTGTTGAGTGTGGTTAGTATGTACGGTGAACTTCTTTCGCACCGTACGTTGCCAACCGTGCTAATCGGATGTGCAATTGTGAGTTTCTCCCCTCGGCACCAGTCAACAGAGGTCGCAAACGGGTTTTGATTCCTTACCCGTACCCGGCCGCACCAGGGTCGCAAACGGGTACCCGTACCCGGCCGGGCACGGGTAGCCGGGTATCGGGTAAGGTACGGGTATCGGGTACCCGGTTGCGACTTCTGCACCAGTCAAACACGCACTGCCAGGCGTGGTGAAGTATGGTCAAACAGCCACCGTCATCAAACACATCCAGCGGTGGATTTGCAAAAGTTGCCGAGCTGGTGATAACGGAGCAGCCGACTTGCAAAGACAGTGTGTCGAATACCGCGTGTGGAATACCAGCGTGTGGAATACCACGTGTCGAAGGGAGAAACTAACCACGTCTTTTTAAGCGTAAATATATCGTGGGCCATTTGGCTAGAATGTGTGAAAGTGCAATACTTCTTGTGGTTACCTGAGGAGGGTCTTCGAACCTGTGAGTGCGATGTCCCCCAGCCTCACACCACGGCAGCATCCCCAGGTGCCGCCATCAGAGGGCAACTCTGTAACAGGATCTTTATTGTAGATTTGAAGTTTTCGTGGCTGCAAGGATCCATACTCGTGGTTGTTTCGGTAAAGTCACGTAGATTTCGATTTAAAGCTTTCGTGACTGCAGGGATTCATCTTCTTGGTTCTTTCGGTAAAGTCACGTAGAAGGGAAATAATAAAATAAAATAAATATTTTAGTATGTTTAAATTTTTTTCTTTTATTATTTCCCTTCTACGTGACTTTACCGAAAGAACCAAGAAGAAGAAAATTCACGTAGGTTAAGAAAATAAAAGATAAATCAATTAAATCACGACGTTTCGATTGCAACACAAGCAATCATCATCAGATGTGACAACCACGGCAAGAACATTTTCTTGCCGTGCTTGTGTTGCAATCGAAACGTCGCGATTTAATTATTTTTTTTATCTTTTTTATTTTCTTTACCTATGTGACTTTACCGAAAGAACCAGGATCTTTATCTTGGGGAAATTCGATGAGTTGTGAAACTCTTTTTGGGTTTTTTTTTCTCCCCACAGATGATCCAGTAGGGGGCACGGGCAACAATCAATACCAAAAAATCGAGCGCTAATTTCAAATAGATCAAGTGTGTATCAGTTAAAATTGCATAAAAACATCGATGCAAGCGTCTTAAACCACAACTCCGCCTCTGTCTGCCCAGCGGTTTAAATGGGTTCACGTTTTGGTGGGGTCGAGTGTGGGTCACACTTTTTTTTCTCTCACCCCAAACGCTGTTGATAAGTTTGCACTCCCAGAATGCCGTGTGGGCCGATGGGCTAAAGTCCTTGCGTATTTTGTTTGTTGCTACGTGAAGACACGAACATGGGATGGAGGCAGCGTGTTGTGTGCCGATTTATTTTCGCGAATTATCCCGGCAAATCGGAGGGTGCCGTCGTGTATTTGTCGGCGTGTCCCAGTGGTTTTTTGTTGTTGTTGGTTCCAGCCAGGGGATTGCCAACATGTCACGATTGTTTACAGCGAGGAGACTGGCCTGTGATGGTGCATGTGGCGGCAGGTTTCGCCCGTGCTCCGAATCATCATCAGCAGCAGCAGCAGCAGCGTGGTATCAATGGGGCGCTTTAGCCAAGCGCAGTGCAGAGCCGGGGTCTGAAACCAAAGCAAGAACAGCCCTTTTTTTACGTGGTAAAAAAATGAGCCATTTTTTTTGTTTCAAATCTGGAGCAGAGGTGGAGTTTGCTCCCGCGCAGAAGGGAATTAATAAAATAATAAAACAATTAAATTCTCACGACGTTTCGATTACAACACGAGCAATAATCATCGGGTGTGAAAACCACAGCAAGAAAATGTTTGGGGGAAAAAATCGTCGTGAGAATTTTATCGTTTTATTTTTATTATTTTATTGTTTCCCTTCTACGTGACTTTACGAAAAATAAAAAAATAGTTTCGTTTTTAGGTTTCATTTCTCTCCCCTCCCCCCATGGCATGGCCACTTGGGGCGGTCTCCCACTTGCCGGCGAGATGGAAACGTATCGACGCATACCCAGAGTGGACACTTCCACCACGGAGAGAGACATCAGCTGTCAATGTTCCCAGCGAGACGAGAAACACAGAACACGCGGACGCCACTGCGCTGCTGGAATATTTGTTTTTATTGTTCGTTAAATCTCGTCGTGCGCTAATTTGAATAAAAGCACCATCCATGGGCAAAGCAGTGGGGGGGGGGGGGTGGTTAGGAGGCGGGGGTTCCCCCTTGCACACGGAACAAACCCAGAATGCAATTGCATCGTGCACAGGTGCGGGGGCGATGGGTGGGATAGCGGTCTTCTCACTCGCACTGCCGTTCCGCTGACAGGAATCCCCATTAGCTGTGAACAATCCACGTCCTTACCAAGGCAGAAGCAAAACAATACAAGTTGATGGCACTAACACCTTGTTGTATAGTAGTGTGCGTACGTGTGTGTGTGCGTACGTGTGTGCGTGTGTGTGTGTGTGTACGTGTGTGCGTGCGTACGTGTGTGCGTACGTGTGTGTGTGCGTACGTGTGTGTGTGTGTGCGTACGTGTGTGTGTGCGTACGTGTGTGTGTGTGTGCGTACGTGTGTGTGTGCGTAGTATACCACGTGATGTTCTTTATTCAACCAAGAGAAAGGCCGCCGCTGATATTTAACAGTTTTGGGGTCTCTTTGTGATGGAGGCCTGTGGTCACATGGGAAGTTAAAGCGCGTGTTTCTGGGTTGTGCCGCCGTTTGTTGCCCAACACACGATGTCCGACGTTTTGCTGCGAGCGGTGGTAGCTTCTTCAGTTCCTGAAGAACATGGTCATGAAGAAGCTCCCAGCGCATGGAGCGAAACGTCGGACGCTGTGCCAAACAAACACTTAGCAGCACAAACAAATAAGCCCGCATCAGCAGTGGTGGTGGTTTAACAACTGGTCTCAAGCTGCCTGGAGGAAGCACACAGAGGATGCTTATAAATTAATTGTTTGATACTCGCTGGTTCTTTCGGTAAAGTCGCGTAGCTATAAAATAAGATGACGGACGCTTGTGTTGCGCTCGAAACGTCGTGATTTATTCGATTTTAATTTATACCTACGTGAGTTTACCGAAAGAACCAAAGAGTATGGATTCCTGTAGTCAAATCAAGATTCATTGTTTTAGTTTCCGTGTCATATCCACCCAAATGTGACGGGTTCTCTGGGTACCGATTAGATTTTTCCCTTTGCCGTGTTCAAATAAGTGGCCACAAGATTGCCAAACCAGGAACCCCCACCTCCTCTCACTCGGCGAGGCCATTTTGGTTGAATAAAAACATGAGGTGATGGCCACGTTTTTGAGTGTGCGTCAGAAACTCGTGAAACTAACAAGGCTACAGGAATCATCATTATTGCAGGGCGAGTTGAAACACGAGCGCAGTCGTAAGAGACAGAAAAAAAACCACAACCAAAAACCCCGAACTAAAAAACACTTTACACACAAGCGTTATTGTTACACCACTCAGAATCTGCTACATTATTGGCACCGTGACTGAGAGCGGTGCGAGGAATTGTGCGCAGAGAATGGCTTCGCGATAAGTCTGCAAACACGAATCCTCTGAGAGCAGTTATTTTGGGGGGTGGGATTAACAAGAAATCACAAACATATAAACGGCGCAGATGGATCACCGTGCGTGCCACGTTGACATCTCAATTCGCCAAATAGACTCCGTTCTTATCGACGACGTAGATTTAAGACTTGGGTTTGCTTCAGAAGTTACGTCTTTCCAGAGTGAAAACAAATGATCTTGGTGGCAACTCTGCCGCAGCGATGGCGATAGCGCGAAAAGCACAAAACAACAATCAAACACTTGTCAATAACACCGTGGCCTTGAAAAAACAATGCGTAACAGGGCAGCACGTAGGCCAGAGGTTGGTGGGATGTTAAGGCCCATTACCTGAAATGTCACCTCCTCTGTACTTTTCTCAAGGCCACAGTATTATTGAGTGCGAGTTTGTTTTCGTTGTGGCTTTTTTTTTGGAGTGGAATTTAAGTGGCTGTCAACCCGCCGCAAATTTTAAATGTTATTATCTGCACCATTATGTAAAATGATCCAACACCCTTCATGATTCATTGACCTTGTACAGTTTAGGGTAATAATTACATTTTTTTTCTGCATAGTGGCCTAAACAATACATTGTAGTTCTGTTGAGCTGGTGGTCTAGACAGGGCTGAGAGCTACATCATGGGGCCTCCTTTGCCAGTACCAAAATATGAGAAGAGGTTTTCCCCTTTTCACAAACTTTGTGGTTAATGCAGACATGATTCCTTGTAAAAGGTTTCAGTTTGGGTGTTTTAACATCTTAACACAGCTGTTTTGTTGCTAGAAAAATGGGGAAAACCTATTGTCACAGGGCTGAAAGCATTGCACATGCGATGGTGGGAGCCGCAAGGCATTCATGCTGCAGTGCTTTGCAGAATTGGGGTATGAGTTCATAGAGGGCACATTCCTCAATAGCACGGTGGCATTAAAAAGAATATTACAGGTCACATGACAGGCACAAATCATCGCTTTGAATCCATAATTTATATCAATGATGATGTAGGTGTTATTGTATAGTTCACTTTGAAGGCTACGGTGTTATCGACACGGAACACGTTTCGTGTTTTTGTGCACCACACTGCTCAAGCGTATCACCAAACAATTCGTTTACACTACTGGAGCACGTTTAAGTGGGCTAACATGTGGAACCAACCAGTTCTTTACACCATTGGAACCTCATTTGCCAGTAAAAAATTATAATTGGTTTTTTACCCTTCTATCTGGCAACAAAACTGACACCTTTTTTACAAGGAGTCATGTTTGCATAGACCACAATACCTGCAGTCATAATGCAAACAAAAAACACAACTCTGATAATGTATGCATTGATAATTGGTTTTTTACCCTTCTATCTGGCAACAAAACTGACACCTTTTTTTACAAGGAGTCATGTTTGCAATACCTGCAGTCGTAATGCAAACAAAAACACAACTCTGATAATGTATGCACTGTCCTTGAAGTTGATTGGTCCTCACCCGAGACAGCTTTCCTTAGAGCCTTTTGGCGTCATCTGGTCCAACCCATGTGAGACTCGGCTGTAAGGAAAGCTGTCTCGGGTGTGAACCAATCAACTTCAAGGACAGTGCATACATTATCAGAGTTGTGTTTTTTGTTTGCATTATGGCTGCAGGTATTGTGGTCTATGAAAACATGACTCCTTGTGAAAAAGGTGTCAGTTTTGTTGCCAGATAGAAGGGTAAAAAACCAATTATCAGTTCTTTACACCTCACAATTCCACGCGTGCGAGTGTGTCAACAGGTTGCGCATTGAGTCGTCGTATTTTAACGCTCGTGACTTTTCCTTGAATGAAAACGCGAGTGACGCGTTGAATCGGAACGGCTATTGACGGCGTTTGTCACTTACCCACAGGCAAGGTGATCGCATGTTAGCGAACCAGGTAGCAACGCCGCCGCCGCCGCCGCCGCCACACGCAGTAGCCAACTTTTACATGGAGTGATGCCTTTGCAGGTTCTTTAAAAGTCTCCGCACACCACTTTTCATTCAGAAGACAGCAGGAATGGGCAATGCCTTGGTGTAGGATCTGACCTGGTGACTACCGCAGCAGGAATGGATCTGTCTTATTCTTAGGTTTTTTCGGTAAAGTCACGTAGGTAAAAAATTAAAATTGATAAAAGTAAAATAAAAATCACGACGTTTCGGAGGCAACACAAGCTTCCGTCTTCAGGTGGAACCGTCACAGCACGACTGCTGCATCACTTGATGTGATTTTATTTTTATTTTACTTTTATTAATTTTAATTTTTTATCTACGTGACTTTACCGAAAAAACCTAAGAATATGAATCCTTGCAGTCACGAAAGCTTCAAATCTAGAATGAATGGATCTGTCAAGCTGGGGAGGGCACCACGATGGCTATTGGCACCATCGTTTTACTGGCACTGTCCCTCTTCTGATGTTTAACAGGACGACAGAAAAAAACATTCATCTGTGGCGAGTCGCACACCAACGCTGCGTGTCCCCTGCGCTGTCCGAACACACGAGTTTGAAGCAGAGGTCGCAAACGGGTTTTGATTCCTTACCCGTACCCGGCCGCACCAGGGTCGCAAACGGGTACCGTACCCGGCCGTACCCGTACCCTACCCGTACCCAGCCGGGTATCGGGTACCCGATTGCGACCTCTGGGATGGGTTGATTCTAGGAACTTGAATTGTGAGAAGAGACAAGACGTTGGGAAATGAGTGACAAACAGGTTACTCACCAGTTGTACTCACGGTCTACCCGTACCCGGCCACACCAGGGTTGCAAACGGCTACCCGGCCGGGTACCGGGTAGGGTACGGGTATCGGGTACCCGGTTGCGACCTCTGGTTTGAAGCTTCCTGTAACGAGGAAGAACGCTTAAAACACTCGGGTCCAGACGTGCTGCATTCTCATGGGACAACGTCTGGTCTCGGTACGAATGTCTGTCAAGATCGGTGTCTTTTGGATTGCAGTCTTCCGTTATTTTATGAATGAAAATTGGAAATTTTGGGACTGGAATATCCACTTTTTAAAAAAAACATTTGCGACAATGAAAAGAAATGAAACTGCCCTTCAATGCTGCACACGATAAACACTTGTCATTGGCGACACAAAGACCGGAGCAGAGTTTAAGCGAGAATACAAATCTGACAAAAATAAAATTGTCGATGCCGTCACAGGATACGAGTCTGTTTGTATATATATATATAGAATAATTGGTTGACGATAACGCTGCAATATTTTATTTTCATATTCTGATTTAAATTCACGGACAGGAACTTTCACAGTTAAGTTTAGTAATTCTCAGTAGAACACATTCATCTGAGGTTATGGCGTTGCAAGAAAAACAACTATAATAATACTTAGTAAGGTTAGCAAAGTAAAACTTAACAGATGTTTGAGACAATGTCTTATATATTCATCATCTGCACACGGCTTTTTATTGAGCATTTAAAATTCGGTCACCAAAGGATAAATGACTGACTACCAAATAAATTGTAAAAATGTTTCCTGTGACACATTAATTTTTGACTAGTTCCCACACGCATGGAAGATAACCTCGACGTTAGATATGACAGGTCAATTACTCAAGTTGAATCACTGTCATGCCCTCCGTTCATTAAGGGGCCTTGCACTTTAAGTCCATTGGGCACAGAGCCCGATTTATTTACACGCCTAGAAGAGCGAATTACATGATACTGTAGCTCCATTGATTTTAAAATGGGTATTGCAATAATCTTATCCGATATTGGCCACTCAAAGTATTGTAACGGGTAATGTGATTTCCCAAACAAAGACACCCCGTGTAGCCTTAAGACTATTGGGGCAAGTGCTGCGAGTGAGTGGCACCGACAAAGGCTGGATCGGCACACGAGAGGGTAGGTGGCCAGCACCACGCCCGGCCGCCTTTGTCTCCCCAGTGGCGATGTTTACACACCGCACCAGGTACTCATGATGCCAAATAGGCCTCAGCGAGGCCCAGGACCGGTTCAGATAATCGTCACCTGGTGTTGGCCGTGAGAAAGAATCGAACCCGGATCGCCGGGTTCGTAGCGCTCCCCACGATGTGATGCCAACTTCAGGTGGTACAGCTACAAGTGATGTCTGGGCTAATGGACTACTTCTTCAACCTCGGCTATGACTACAAGGGTTCTCGACTGCCTCCGACACAGACGTTTTACAGGTCACAGCTGAGGAGTTTAACCGGGCTGAAGACAATAAACGTGAGGCTTTGAGTACGATACACAGCCGCCTATCCGACCCGTCACGTATCTGCCCCCATCACTTAAACCCATGCGCAAAAACCCAGTGCAGTATTTGAGCCCTGGGTGTGTTACCCTACAGACGTTTCACAAATCCGACCGTTTTCACACGTGAATATATTCTTCATCTCACTTCACGTTTTGCTCACCCCTTAAGCACAGTGAAGCATTTCCCAGTGTTTGAACCAGTTTGCCATATTTTTCTTAGTCCCGTCACCAATTTTGCGCTAAATGACGCTGCCACTTTACATTTTCCACGGACGTTCAAACGTCCACAGACACATCAGTCCAACCAGCGGAATTTGAGTACGTGACGTACTGCGCCGCATTTCACTCGTAAGGAATGTCTGCGACCGGACTCCCGACCGACTGCTAAACCCCCGCCGCGCTTGACAGCTGACGGCAGTGTTAACCCCCAAGGAAGTGGCAGGCAATTTGTTCCATCACCATTCAAATTTCAGGTGCTCTTGAGATGCCTGACCCCGGGTGTTTTGCTGCAGCCATCAATTCGGTGACAGTGGCAGACCCCAGGGTTACTGGCTTACTGGTTCAGCCAGTGCTCAATGTATGTAGCCAACCGTGCTAACCTAACCCGAATGCAACACCCATTTAAGCTCACTCTTCCCACCCCACAGATGAGGAAGCACGGGTTTTGCTTTTCCACTGCACGAGGAAGACCCGTGCCAGTACCATAGATGCCCGTCGAGAACGCGGTGACGTGGTGTTTCGCGTCCTACTGACCGCAACACATCAGCATTCCTGGCCCAGCTTGCCCCCCCCCCCTACCTCCAAGCTAGATTCGGATGTCTTGTCAGGCCAGAGTATCACAGATTGGTTTCAGCTCGGCCAACGGCAAATATCCAGCGGAAAATTCCGCGTTGGCTCCATGATCGCACGGCACGGATGTGCGTGTTCATTTTCTGCTCCGGGTCCTGTTCCGGTTGTTTTCCCCTCCACATTTAGAATCGACATCATGGCTTTAGAGTAATTTGGCTGCTATCAATTTCCACGTGATAATCCACTTCATTGAGCTATCGTTCGTGGCCAGGTCGCTTATGAAAAAGAGCTCCATATCTCAGTGGGCCCTTGCTTGGTAAGAAACAAAAAATATCGTAAAACAGCAATAGTACACGTGTGTGTGATCGGCAATGTGTGGTAATAGATTGCGCACTCAACTGCAATCTCCATTATGAGATCTCTTTTACCAGTGGCAAAATATAGTAGGAGGTTTTTACCCTTTTAAACTGGTACAAAACTGACACCTTTATACAAGGCATCTAAAGAAAGCCGTCTCTCAGGTGTGGACCAATCAACTTCAAGGACAGTGCATATTATTATCATTATCAGAGTTGCTTCTTTTTGTTTGCATTTTTGACTAGTTGTGTTGTGGTTATTGCAAACATGATGCCTTGTATAAAGGTGTCAGTTTTGTACCAGTTTAAAAGGGTCATAACCTACTACTACAATGCGATCTCCACGTTACCCAGATTGCCCCTGACCACCGCGTGTATTACGAGTAGTAACTGGCACCTTACCTGGTTCTTACAAGCTCATCTCGGCCTAAAATGCATAATACTTGACAGGGCAGCATTAATCATGGGCATCAACACTGGCAAGACGATGGACACTTAAAAAAAATTAACCCGTAAAAACAAAGTTTTTCACTATCAATCCTTTATATGTGTGGCATCGGTTTTATTTTATTATTCATTTCTGTTTTTCTTGAGTAAGAGTTTCATTTTGATCACGTTGGTATTTTAAATTAAATGACTTTTTTTTCCTAAAAAGTGGAAAATTTTGGAAAAATTTTTTCACGAAAATAAATTGTCACGCACAACGAGTCTGTGTGCAAAATGTCAGCTCAATTGGATCACGGGAAGTGGGTTAAAAAACGACCGAAAGGTTTGCACGGTCGTAAGCACGCAAGCAAGCACGCAAGCGAACTTAATATAAAGGATTTAATAAAATGTCCTGAGAGACACCCAGGGCCTGTGCTGGGCTCAGTGTCCCGACACTGGAATTCTAGACCAATCGGAATGACAGAAGCCATTCGAAACCTATGCATGCACGATTCGGATCGGAAAATCAGATTGTTAAATACTCACAACAGATTCACATGTTCACAAGTTAAATTATCTGCAATCACGCCCCCAAAAACATTGTTTCCCAGAGTTTGTAGCCTGCTATGGGTGTGCCCAAGTTCGTGGGGTGTGTGGCGCTGATGTGCGTTGTGTATTTTAATACACATGCGACGGTTTTTTCAGCGATCCTAGCCTAAAAAGGGACAAGATTTCACCCCCGAGAGCACAGAAACGCTTTCAATCAATTGCAGAATTCTCCTTCGGATATCAGAAGACCCCGGGGGGGGGGGGCAGCCCAGGATACGCTGGCGGGACGATGTCGCTTAGCTGGCCTGGGAAACCCTCCTGGAAATTCCCCAGGAATCGCTAGGAGTCTCGCCAGGGTGAGGGAGGTCTGGATATCCTTACCCAGGACAAGTGGACTGAGAAACGAGCGAATATCAGAACCCATATTTTCATTTACATATCACAGGCGATTGCCAAACATCATTTGCGGGCTTCTCTTACCAAAACCACGCATTTGTCGTCTGCCAAACTGACCAGAATTATCCACAGAAGTAATCTCGGAGAGGTAGTTTTGTGACATCTGCTTCTGTGGATCTCGCTTTGCCGTCAGGAGATCAGGAACAGATTCCGTCGTTTCAGGACGTGACACCGATGGGCACGTTCTGGATCAGAACTTGGGAGATAAAAATTACAATAACTAAATCCCGACCTCGGCTAGTACCGGTTCAGCGTATCTAACTTGGCTATTATCCATCGTGGTGGGTGTCGAGACTCTAAAATACCTATTAAGCAGATGCTCAAAAGATAATACCATCATGCTGGGAGTCGGCTTGACACGTAGTAGGCTTATTCGCGACCAATATCCACAAGGCTTTTTTTGGGTTAGATCGCATAAATACGTGTCGTTAAACCCGCCATCAACCGACACGGTGCTTTGTCTGGAAGATTTAGCGTTTTTTTTCCTGGATTTTTCTGTTTGCGCATAGTCACATAGTCACTTTAAGATCTTCTTGGTTCTTTTGGTAAAGTCACGTAGAAGGGAAGTAATAAAATAATAAAAATAAAACATAATAAAATAATTCTCACGACGTTTCAGCCACAACGCAAGCAGCCGTCCTCAGGTGAAGACCAGGTCTGTCGGAAAGATGTTTTCTTGTACATTTTTTTTTTTGCGGTTGCACCCGATTCAAGATCCGAATGGCTCACGGGGCTATACCAAATAAATAAAACTGAAAACAGCCAGAACCCAGCTTAAATATACGCTCCAGGCTTGGTGGTGTCTCATTCTTCACCTGAGGACGGCTGCTTGCGTTGTGGCCAAAACGTCGTGAGAATTATTTTATTATGTTTTATTTTTATTATTTTATTACTTCCCTTCTACGTGACTTCACCGAAAGAACCAAGAAGATGAAAACAGCCAATTAGTAAGGTTCGTCACGTAAATAAAACGTGCCAATTCGTTACTGGTGTAGCACACCGACGTGGTGGAGAGCAAATCGACAACACTTACAATTCGAGTACCAGTGACGTTTCGCCTGCAATAACAACCAGCCTCAGCAGGGCGACAACCAGAGTTGTTCTGGACGCTACACGAGCATTTACTGGAGCTGCGATTGGTCAATTTAAGGGTCTGTTAATTGTTCATCTTCTTGGGTCTTTCGGTAAAGTCACGTAGAAGGGAAGTAATAAAAAAATAAAACATAACAAAATAATTCTCACAACGTTTCGGCCACAACGCAAGCAGCCGTCTTCAGGTGGAAAACAGGGTTTGGCCGCAACACTACTTGCGTTGTGGCCGAAACGTCGTGAGAATTATTCTATTATATTTAATTTTTATTATTTTATTATTTTCCTTCTACGTGACTTTACCGAAAGAACCAAGAAGATGAATCCCTGCGGTCACGAAAGCTTTAAATCGAAATTTACGGTTAATTGTTGTTTTAACAAGAATTACAAATCGGCTTAACACGTTGTTTACGTGACAACCTTTACTGGCTGTGTCGGGTGGTGGCGGAGGGTTACGGCACAAATACTTACGCCAAAAACTTGTTATCACGAATTATAAAATCCTTTTTTTTTCGTGGGCGATTACTCGGCGCTCCCTTTAAAAACACGTCGCCCCCCCCCCCCACCCCCCCCAGGAGGCCACACGCAGCGTGACGGTGGGCTGACGATGCCGATGACGTCGCCAAGCCCCGCCCCCCCTCATCACATTCCCGTCCAGCGGCACACACTGGAGCAGAGGCGAAATTAATTTAACTTTTTTGGGCTCCCCTAACTGGTATTACGTGATCCGATGGGAGCTGCTTCATGCAACTGATAATCGATATGTAAATCCAGCTGCTCAATATATTGCGCTTCCGATCAAATCGGTTGGCTCACGGAAAGCATTTGGGGCTGCGGTGTGTTTTCTGGGTCTTGGGAGAAATTTCTGCCGATATCGGAACGATGCCCGGCAACACCACAGACGGATAAACGCCGATGAATTGTGATGGTACGGTGGGACCCACCGTCGTGCCACGTTGCATATCCGACCGTCGCATAAATCTCACTCATTAACCGACTCACACCCCACCCCCCCGCTGCTGTATTTGTGCATGATGGTATAACCGTCGTGTTCTATAAACCTTCACGTATTTGACCCTTTCACCCACATCCACCGATTCTCCAGTCCCCAGCGAGGCGGGCGTGCGACGTTGCAGCATCTTCAGCGTCACGCAGCGCCGAGTGCCATCGGAGCCGCACGAGGCTGCTTGGTCGGTTAGAAGTGGCCGTTGTGGTTGCGTCGTGTTTAATGAGCCTTCATCGCTGGTGCCTCGTGATCAACTCTGACATCAAGGTGGGGGGGGGGGGGGTTAGGGGCAACTGGGGACGAGCATTGTGGGCGTACGAAGGAGCGTGCGGCGATTGTGTGCGAGCGTACGAGAGCGCCGTGCTCGTGTGAGACTTTGCAAACCGCGCGCGTGCGTGCGGGACACTGCGTGCGTGTACGCGTAACATTGCGTGTGTGATCGTGCACGTGCGTGCGTGAGCGAGCGAGCGTGGTTGACCGCGATCGGTGAGGAGGGAGGGAGGGAGGGGGCCAGGCGGGGTGACGTCACAGTTGGTGGCGCTTGTTGATGAGCACCGAGCAGCACGTGAGGGCGCCGTTCACCTTCGCCAGTTCCGTGTTGGACACCGGGATGAGGGCGTAATCCTTCAGCTTTTCAAACGCCTGCCACCATGCGGAGATATTGGAGGTGAGAGAGAGAGGGGGGGGGGGGAGTGTGTTTTACGCAAGTCAGAGTGAGTGTGTGTGTGTGAGAGTAGGGAGCGGTGGTGCAGCGGTTAGCGCGCTGCGTTATGAACCCGGCGACCCGCATTCGATTCCCGCTCACAGCCAACATCGGTGACGATTATCTGAACTGGTCCTAGGCCTCCCCTAGGTCGATTCAGACTGAAATTAGTACCTGGTGCGGTGTGTAAACATCGCCACTGGGGAGACAAAGGCGGTCGGGCGTGGTTGCTGGCCACCTACCCCCTCGTGTACCGTTCCGGCCTTCACAGGTGCTCGCTAACAGCACTTGCCCCTACAGTCTGTCAAGGCTACACGGGGGATCTTTGTGTGAGAGTAGGGAGTGGTAGGGTAGCGGTCAGCGCGCTGCGCTATGAACCCGGCCACCCACCCCCTCGTGTACCGTTCCGGCCTTCATAGGTGCTCGCTAACAGCACTTGCCCCAAGTCTGTTACAGGCTATACGGGGGATCTTTTGTCTTTGTGTGAACATTCGTGAGAGTCGGCTAAATTGTGAGAGCGAGCTCTAGTGTGAAGGTGTCAAGTAAAGCAGTGTATGAATGAGCGAGCGAGTTTGTGTGCGAGTGAGTTACCGGGTGGGTGGTTCAGTGAGTGAGCGAGTGATCAAAATCGTGAGTGCCCAAGTGGGTGAATGAATGAATGAGAAAATGGGTGCAGTGATGAGAGTTTAGCTGGCGAGCGAGAATGGATGTGGGGGCGAGTGCGTGAAAGAGCACAAGTGAGCAAGTTGGGTGACAACTTTTATAAATTAATAAGTGGGTGGGCGAGTTGAATGAACCGAGTGGCTAGGTACTGGCAAATGAGGTACCAATGGTGTAAATGCTTCACCCCGAGCTCTCATACTCTGATGGTGCATTGTCTTTGAGTTGTGCGCGTTTTGGCGTCATCTGGTCCAACCCATGTGAGACTGGGCTCTAAGGAAAGCTGTCTCGGGTGTGGACCAATCAACTTCAAGGACAGTGCATATATGTTATGTTTCTTGTTTGTATTATGGCTGCAGGTAGTGGTCTATGCAAACATGACTCCTTATAAAAAAGGTGTCAGTTTTGTTGCCAGATAGAAGGGTAAAAGAACAATTATCATATTTTTTACTGGCAAATGAGGTTCCAATGGTGTAAGTATATGGCAGTTGGTGAGTAGGTAGGTGAATGAATGAATGAGTGGAGTGTGTTGGCAAGCGAATGAGAGTTGAGTTGCGTAAATCAGCGACATGGCAATTAAAAGGAGACGAACGAGCGAGCGGGCGGGCGAGCGGGGGTCACCTTGGCAGACTCGGGGAAGTCCTCGGCGGACGCGTGTAAGAGCGCGTGCCCCTTGTTGCCGAGCCGTGCGTACACGCAGTTGGCGGCGCCAGTCGTCCGGCACGGTGAGTTTGTCGTAGTGGTGGTCGGTGAGCTGCTGCATGGTCTAACTCGCCACGCGCGCACGCACACAAACACACACGGCGGCGTCAGCGAGCATCACGTACGAAGACAACACCACGCCCGGTCGCCTTTGTCTCCCCAGTGGCGATGTTTACTACACACCGCACCAGGTACTCGTTTGACGCCGAGTCGACCTACGGGAAGGCCCAGGACCGGTTCAGATAATCGTCACCGGTGTTGGCCGTGAGCGGGAATTGAACTCGGGTTGCTAGGTTCGTAGCGCAGCGTAGCGCTAACCGCTGCACCACCGCTCCTCACGCACAGACACACATGTAACAACAATGGCCACTCTTTGCCAATAAGTGACGGTGATGTCACATAAGCAATTGTGCCAGGCTAGGTGCACTTTTCAGCAAGTGCACACGTACACACACGTACACCCAGATATGCGTCATGTGTGCACACAAAGACAAATATCCCCTGTATAGCCTTTAACAGACTGTTGGGACAAGTGCTGTTAGCGAGTAGCACCTACGAAGGCCGGCACGGCACACGAGGGGGGGTGGGTAGCCAACACCACGCCCGGCCGCCTTTGTCTCCCTAGCGGCGATGTTTACACATCGCACCAGGTACTGGTGCGTTTGAGGCTGAGTCGACCTAGGGAACGCCCGGGACCGGTTCAGATGATCGTCACCGGTGTTGGCCGTGAGCGGGAATCGAACCCGGGTCGCCAGGTTCGTAGCGCAGCGTAGCGCTAACCACTACACCAGCGCTCCCCACACAACAACACACAACAACAATCGCCACTAAGTGGCGGTGACGTCACCACGACGCTTGTGCCAGGCCAAGTGCACCTTGAGACCACGTGAAGTGTCGAACGCCCGCTGGCAGGAGGTCACTGGGCAGACCTAGCAGGTGCCACGGGTCGACTGACCGAGATGACCGAGATGACTGGCTGATGCACCACCTGTGCCCCCTACTGTACCAACTCGCTGTGCTTTAGCCACCCGGCGCTCCGCTCGTTGTTGTGAGCGTCGCTCCTCCGCCCTCCGTTGTTGTTGGAGGGCCACTGCCTCCAACTGCCCAGTAGCGTCCTTCACGAGCCACACACGTGCACCCACAGACAACCACAGACACACACAAGTGCGTGCGCTCCCCCCTCACCCGTAGCGCACGCTGTGCGTTTTCGCTGCTGCCGATGACGAGCAGGTCAGGTCCTCCCATGCTGCAGAAGCTCTTGAGGTGCAGAGCTCCACTCACAGGCACGGTGGACACAGCATAGTCCTGAACGCATGCAGACAAAGATCCCCCGTATAGCATTAACAGACTGTTGGGGCAAGTGCTGTTAGCGAGCACCTATGAAGGGCCAGCACCACGCCCGGCCGCCTCTGTCTCCCTAGTGGCGACACAAATCACACCAGGTACTCCATACGACGCCGAGTCGACGGAGGGGAGGCCCAGGACCGGTTCAGATAATGAATCGTCACTGGTGTTGGCTGTGAGCGAGAATCGAACCCGGGTCACCAGGCTCGTAGCGCAGCGTGCCAACCGCTACACTACCGCTCCCCCACTGAATGCACGCACACACACACAAAGTGAAATATAAATAAACGAGCTTGACTACCCGGCTTCGCCCGGGACTTGGATTCTTGTCTTGGACTAATACACGGCTACGCGGAGGGTTGGGGGGGGGGGGGTGCGTGACGTCAGCAGGCGCGCTGCGTGACGTCATCAGGCGCACTGCGTGACGTCATCAGGCGCACTGCGTGACGTCATCAGGCGCACTGCGTGACGTCATCAGGCGCACTGCGTGACGTCATCAGGCGCACTGCGTGACGCTGCCGCATGCGGGTGACATCACAGATGTGACGGCACCGCTCACTTGCCGTGCAAAATATATCCATTATTGCGCCCCCCCCCCCCCAAAAATAGAAAAGTCTATTTTTATACTTTCTGCATTGTGTACACTCTGGAAGCTACCCACGTGCCAAATTTCAAGTTTGTTGCATGTCGGGAAGTACGCTACACATTTCGAACGGACACACATTCACAAATTTCCCTTTTATATAATATAGATTTACAACACTGGTTCTTCACGTTCTGTAGATGTAGATGCCACTGGTTCTTCACATTCAGCAGATGTAGATGCCACTGGTTCTTCACGTTCAGCAGATGTAGATGCCACTGGTTCTTCACGTTCTGCAGATGTTGATGCCACTGGTTCTTCACGTTCTGTAGATGTTGATGCCACTGGTTCTTCACGTTCAGCAGATGTAGATGCCACTGGTTCTTCACGTTCTGCAGATGTTGATGCCACTGGTTCTTCACGTTCTGCAGATGTTGATGCCACTGGTTCTTCACGTTCTGTAGATGTAGATGCCACTGGTTCTTCATGTTCTACAGATGAAGATGCCACCACCGCCATCTATTGCACGGCGGTTGAACTTACGATTCTTGGTCCCAACAGGCAACTGGACATACGGACAGCTTCGTTCGTATCTCTGAAAGTTCGTAAGTCGAATGTTCACAAGAAAAGGAGTCCCTGTACACGAGTGCTGTACGTGTAATGCTTGCATATGCAGACACAGCACCCGTGTTATTTACACACATGTTCACACACGACACACGGTGCTATGGGACGAAACTCTTACCCTGAACGTGTCCGCCAGAATTTCGGCTCCTCGCTGATTGGTGCGCTTGGACAGACCCACAAAAAACTCCCGTCCTGCGGCAAATAACACAGACACGCACGGAGACTTTTCTTTTTACACATATCTACATTGTAAATGTCTACAGTGAACAAAGACAAAGATCCCCCGTATAGCCCTTAACAGACTGTAGGGGCAAGTGCTGTTAGCGAACACCTATGAAGGCCGGAACGGTACACGAGGGGGTGGGTGGCCAGCACCACGCCCGACCGCCTTTGTCTCCCCAGTGGCGATGTTTACACACCACACCAGGTACCTATTTCAGGCTGAGTCGACCTAGAGGAGGCCCGGGACCGGTTCAGATAATCGTCACTGGGTGTTGGCCGTGAGCGGGAATCGAACTCGGGTCGCCGGGTTCATAGCGCAGCGCGCTAACCGCTGCACCACCGCTCCCCATTGTGAACAGAGCACACACACACGCACGCGTAGTGCATGTACAGCCCTTTTGTCAATCCAGATGAGGGCCTCGCCGGGTCGTGTGGGTCGTGGGGGTTCGTTTGACCATACTTCACCATGATCGTCAATGTGGGATGGTGAAGGCATAGGAGCATTGTGTTTGTAGTGAGGATGCGGCTGCTTCTGCTACCAATGATGCATTTTGATGTTTTCATTTAATAATGATGACGAGTTATTATTTTCACGGCTGATGTTTGCCACGGAGATTTAACGATTCAACCGAATGAGTCTGATGAACCGAGTGGGCCCCCTTCTCGTCTGTAATCTTTCTTACGTTTGTAGGATGCCGGAGAATGACACTTATGACGGGAAGACGAGATTGACGATGGTAATGACGATGACGCCAATGCGATATTTATTGACGACGCCGTCGAGTGACGTCGATAACATTGACGCGGCGAGACCGAGTCAGCCCCGGACAGCCGATTTCAGCCCACGCACATCTCTAGTGGAGCTCTCCAAACCCCCCAAAAAAAAAACAAAGCGCCGCCCTGTAACATCACCGCCGCTGTATTAATTATCGCGCAGACTGCGGCGCTCAGAGGTGACGCAAGCGAGGCATTTTTTAAATCCTTTATATTAAGTTCACTTGCTTGCTTGCTTGTGTGCTTACGACCGTGCAAATTTCTCGGTCGTTTTTTAACCCACTTCCCGTGATCCAATCGAGCTGACATTTTGCACACAGACTCGTTGTGCGTGACAACTTCCAAAATTTTCCACTTTTTAGGAAAAATGTTTTTTTCATATTTAATTTAAAATACCAATGTGATAAAAATGAACCTCTTACTCAAGAAAAACAGAAATGAATACTAAAATAAAACCGATGCCACGCATATAAAAGATTTATAGTGAAAAACTTTGTTTTTACGGGTTAATTTTTGTTGTTTACCGAGCGCGGCGAAGGGGGGCGGAAGGTGGAGTGAGGTGGGGTGGGGGGGTCGGTGGTATCGAGGTGTGACGCGGGCCCGCAGGGCGAGATACCGGTGAGAGAGCGCGCGGGTGAGGAATGATTGTCTGCATGCACGCGATGCAACCGACATTTCACGCAACTTTTTTTTATATAATCGGGTGGTCCCTGGGTTTAAGTTTCTCGCTCCGGGGAGACCCCACCGCAGACCTTTTAGAAACGCGTGTGTGGTGTGTGCGTGCGTACGTGTGTGTGTGTGCGTGTGTGCGCGAGATTGTGTGCGCTTGGAGGGGAGCGGTAGCACAGTGGTCGGCGCACTGCGTTACGAAGCGAGTCTTACGCCCGCTCACTGGCCAATGTCGTTTGGCGAACATTTCAACCGGTTTTAAGCCTTCCCCTAGGTCGACTCAGCCTTGCCAGCATCAACTCGCCCGTAATAAACTAAACACCTGGTGTGGCGTGAAAACGTAAGAAAGGTTAGAAATACGAGGGGCCCATTTGGTCCATCTAGCTCGTTCGGTTGCGAGTATCAGATCGATGCTAGAACCGCACCGAGGCGTTTCCCAGCGGATCTGCTTCCACGTGATCGCTGGGGGAGACAAAGGTGCCCAGGGGTGGTGCTGGCTACCTACTCCCTCATGTGCTGTAGCAGCCTTAACATACGTGCTTGATAACAGCACTTGCCCCATCAGTCTGTTGAGGGTCGTATCATGGGGGAGCTTCGTCTTTGTGGGTTCCCCTACCCCCTCCTTACAGTGGCCAGCACTATAAAAGTTGTAAAACGGTAACAGTTAAAAAAAAACAACACGTTTATTTACAATCGAGCAAAGTCGTAAGAACCTGGAAAATTTTGAGACGATAAATGACGGGGAGGAACTCAAAGGCAGGGCGACGTAAGAAGCGGAAAGAGAAGCCCTGTGACCTGCGGTGCAGCGAGCGGGTTGGCGAGTGGGCGAGTGAGTGACTCAGTGGGTGGGTTGGCGAGTGAATGAGCGAGCGAGCAAGCGCTGTAGTTGCGACATGGAGTGTGGGCGAGTGGGCGAGTGAGCAAATCAGTGGGCGAGTCGGTGCGTTGTTACAACCTGCAGTGTGCCGTGTGAACAGTGTGGAGGAGGCGATACAGTCGGCTTGATCAGACCGAGTTTTCAACATGTGTGGCGGATACACCGATTGAAGTGCACAGGGACAGCCACCGCAGCAGTAGCGATACAGGAGTGACGGAGCCAACAACCGACCGCTCGCGAGCTGCTGGAGATGACGAGTGGCAACTTGACCTCTGGGAAATTTCACCCGCGACCGTTCCGATTGCCGAGTTGAAGCATTCCTGGCCACAGCGACACCCGGGCGGCTGAAAAGGAGGGGCTGCTTTTAACACAAAAAAAATAAAGTAAAATGAAGTGCTCTATGAGAGCACCCCCGGGGCCAGTAGGTGTGAAGTTTTTTTTTTTAGCTGCCACTGCAAACGCCGGCCCAATTCACACGATCCCGCAAATCCAGGGATGTTTCAAATAGCTGCCCTTTAACGTGCGCGTGTTTTTGTGTGCGTGTGTGTGACTACGGGCACATTTGCATTCAAAAGACGCATTTTTTTATAACTACAGCATAAAAAAAGTGTTCCATTTCACGTGATTATTTTCTTCTTCTCAAAGTGACTGACGCGCCTCGGTCGATGCTTCATCATCATAATCCTCATGATTTCGTCATGATTTATCCACTGCTCGATGAAAGCCTCCAACTCGTAGCCCCCACTGGATGTGTGACAGAGAGCTTCAATCACATTCCAGTCATACATCGATATTCTGATTCTGACCTCTCACAATCCCGAAACTTAACAATCCATATTGGTCTTCTTGGTTCTTTCGGTAAAGTCACGTAGAAGGGAAGTAATAAAATAATAAAAATAAAACATAATAAAATAAAATAATTCTCACGACGTTTCGGCTACAACGCAAGCAGCCGTCTTCAGGTGAAGAATGAGACACTGCCAAGCTAGGAGCTTATATATACGCTGGGTTGGAGGTGCAAGAAGAGCGCCTTAACAAAAAGAATGTGCATATCAAGAGGAATTTAGCATATTCATGGGAAATGCGTAGGAGGTGGGCGGGGGGGGTTTCAAAGTCATATTATGCGAAAGCTTTAAATCGAAATCCATATTGGCTCCCATGCACAAGCCGATTATGTCGCCCCGTCTCCATTAAAGCTCACGACCATCGGCCACCAACATCTTCAGCCCCGCTAACCCTTCATGAAGTCAAAATGTTTGCCGAATCCACGTGTTCTTCTTCCCACCTCCCAAGTGCGATTCCAAGCGTGCTCGGGCATGCAGCTGATGGTTTGCTGAAGTCAAAACGGAATCTATACCTTGGCTCCAGCAGGTGTGGTGAACCAAAAACCTTAACCACTGCGGTCAAGATAATAGTTTTTTTACCCTTCTATCTGGCAACAAAACTGACACCTTTTTTACAAGGAGTCATGTTTGCATAGACCACAATACCTGCAGCCATAATGCAAACAAAAAACATAACTCTGATAATATATGCACTGTCTTTGAAGTTGATTGGTCCACACCCAAGACAGCTTTCCTTAGAGCCTAGCCCCACATGGGTATATATTATCAGAGTTATGTTTTTTGTTTGCATTATGGCTGCAGGTATTGTGGTCTATGCAAACATGACTCCTTGTAAAAAAGGTGTCAGTTTTGTTGCCAGATAGAAGGATAAAAAAACTATTATCATATTTTTAACTGGCAAATGAGGTTCCAATGGTGTAAACACTGTGGTCATTTAAAGTAAAAAAAGATCTCCCTGCTCAAACGAAGATCAACCTCCCCTCGGTTGGGGATTCTAAATTCATACGGTACAGGGGATTAGTCCATTCCATAAGACATCTACTGTTGATGTCCTACAAAGTGGTACTCACCCTTCACCGATGCAGGAGGAATGATAATAAAGGTTTTTGGGTTTAGATCGCGTTATTTATAAATGTGTCGTAACCCTCCACCACCCGACATGGCCAATCAGCAAAAAAGTGTCACGTTGACAAAAGACAAAATAATTAACTTCTTTAGCCCACCGGTGTGTTGAAGAGCGAATCAACATAATTTAAAATTTGAGTCCGACGTTTCGCTGATAATTACATACAGCTTCAAATCGGGCGATGTTGATTATTTTGTCCTTTGTAAACGTGACACACATTTTACTGTTTGGCCGTGTCGGGTGGTGGAGGGTTACGACCAAATTTATAAATAACTCGATCTAACCCAAAAACCTTTATTACGAATAATATTGGTCGCGCAAGCCTGCTACGTGTTCAACTGAGGAGGAATGATGATGGCCTGAATCAACCACCGAGTGGAAGTTTAACGATAATCACCTGGCGCTGAGTCTTGATCGAGATCGAGATTCTGACACGCAGTGGCATCGTGTCGTCTGTGCTCAAGGAGGAGGTGTTGGCTTCTGTATTAGGCAGGGCAGGAATGTGTGCGCACACACACTCGCACGCTCTATCTAATAGCAAAGCGACCTAAAAATAGAATGCAGAGTTTCAAAATTTCTCGACGGCTTGCCAACGAAATGAAATCCGATAGCACCTTGCACACGTTAGAAGGATCGTAAATTGGTGGGTCGCAGATTAAAGCGCTGTACAGACAGAAGCCACTCAAACTGGGAGGTTTAGGGCGAGCGATTTGCGAGCTTATATTTTAACAACGCGAAAGAATTGGCGAGAAAGGTCATGGAGATTTTTCGAAGGCTTCATTTGACGGGTCCAAAAAAAAAAAAGGAAAATACCACCACACCCCACCCCCCCCCCCCCCACGAAAACGTGCTCTTGATCGCGATGCTTTTTCTCTGAAGCTTTGTGTGCGGTCGTGTTCTTACAGAAGTCTCGGCACATTTGCAATGTAATTTGCCATTCTTTAGTTCTTCAAAGTTTGGGGGTACTCGATTGGTTAACTCTCAAAAAGTCAACTGAGCATTCAGGCTGTGCTCATCTCAGATTTACAGCCCTCGGCCCTCGGTGAAGATTCCACATTCCGATGGTGGGGGGAGATTCTGTGCATAGGACAACCACACTCTCGACCTCATTAAGTGTTATTATTTTATTGATCAAAGATGGATCATGGGCCGCGTCAACCGCCATCAGGATGTGAACTCAACATTCGGATTGAAAGCCACTGAGCTAGACATCAATTTTCCCCCCAGTCAATTTAAACATCGAGTTGACGTCTTCTTGGTTCTTTCGGTAAATTCTAGATTTGAAGCTTTCGTGACTGCAAGGATTCATATTCTTAGGTTTTTTCGGTAAAGTCACGTAGGTAAAACATTAAAATTAATGAAAGTAAAATAAAATAAAAATCACGACGTTTCGGAGGCAACACAAGTCTCCGTCATCAGGTGGGACCGTCACAGGCAGATTCGGTAAAGTCACGTAGGTCTGTCTCCCCGACAGACCTGGTCTTCACCTGAGGACGGCTGCTTGCGTTGTGGCCGAAACGTCATGAGAATTATTTTATGATGTTTTATTTTATTATTTCCATTCTACGTGACTCTACCGAAAGAACCAAGAAGATGAATCCCTGCAGTCACGAAAGCTTTAAATCGAAAATTGAGTTGACGATCATAATCCCCCGCTGAAGATGCTAGGAAAAGCGTTCTTTTATTTCGGGCAGAAGACTCAAAAATGGGTATTTCTATGAAGGATAATGCGATGATGAAGGAAGCGCCGGAAACAATATACGTACAAATAATCAAGACTACCAAGTCAGGCCTAGTACAGAAAACCGTCAATACTGCCGACATGCGACACAAAAACTGGTGGACCGGCTGCCAGAGCGTGATCATGGAGAGAACGCTGGGGGGAGCTGCATGGGGAAAAGATGAAGACCACGATCCGAGTGGGCGTCAGGCGTCAAAACACTGGACGTGACGGTGTCGGTGACGGACAGCGACGAGGGGAGAAAGTACGGCGATTAGACTGGCAGCGAAAAAAAAACGGATCGGGCCGGAAAAAGGGACCCGGAATAAGATTATTTGGGATGTAACGATTCTCTCCCTTCGCCGATATTTGACGACGACGCAATCTTGATCAAAATAAATTGAAAATATAAAGTTGTGCTCTTATGATGAATGTAGAACCTAGAGTGGCCGCAGGGTGTCCGTGAACCCCTGACGTACAGCGTATACGAATTGCATGCCTCATAAAACGTAAGGACTGGTTTTGATCAATACAACTTTACATTCTTGAAATACTGCCTGGGTCGTTCCTGCACAACAAAGAGCTCAATAGGCATCATGATGGGTGGGTGGGGGGAGGGGTACAAATGTGTCCGATTAAATTTCGATTTAAAGCTTTCGTGACTGCAGGGATTCATCTTCTTGGTTCTTTCGGTAAAGTCACGTAGAAGGGAAGTAATAAAATAATAAAAATAAAACATAATAAAATAATTCTCACGACGTTTCGGCTGCTTGCGTTGTAGCCGAAACGTCGCGAGAATTATTTTATTTTTATTATTTTAATTATTTCATTACTTCCCTTCTACGTGACTTTACCGAAAGCACCAAGAAGATGTGTCCGATTAGCACGTTTGGCTACGTACAGTGCGAAAGAAGTTCAACATACGTACGTATGTCAGAGCACGAAAGCGGCATCCCCGCTTAGATTCTGAATTCAGATCCAGAGCAAGTTAATTGCAGGCCTGCGCCCTCACCTTCTATCCGGAGCTCACACTCCCCCACCCCGCCCCCCCAAAAATTCAAGTCCAAATGCACGCTTCACCTTTTCTGCTCCGCTTATGGGTAATCACCGCCGACGCCTAACATTAAACGCCCTGCGTCTAAATTCCTAAATGTGCAATAGACTTTAATTTTCTACCTGCGCATGCCACTGCTGTTATTTTACACACGCCCGTGTATACAGTTTTGCTTGGAAACTGTGCAGAATGTAGCATCAAACCAGTTTTAGACTATTTTAAGTTGAATTGCATCATCGCAATCAAATGTGTAATGTATACAAGTAATAATGTCCTGCATTTTATTGAAGTAATAAAGCAGTGGGTAGTGTGTGTGTGTCCGTTTGTCTTTACACACGCAGAGCAGTAGTGTAGCGGTTCGCGCGCTGCGCTACGAACCCGGTGACCCGAGTTTGATTACCACTCACGGCCAACACCAGTGACTATTATTTGGGCCTCCCCTAGGTCGACTCAGCCTCAAATTAGTACCTGGTGCGCTGTGTAAACATCGCCACTGGGGAGACACATGGTGCTGGCCACCCACCCCCTCGTGTGCCGTGCCGGCCTTCATAGGTGCTCGCTAACTGCACTTGCCCCTACAGTCTGTTACAGGCTATACGGCAGATCTTTGTCTTTGTCTACATATAAATCTGTGTTTTAGTTGGGAGCGCAGGTGCTGCATCTGCCAGTCATCTCAAGTCAATTATCTCATAACACCTGGGGTCTCTGTTCCTTGACCTTCTTCTGCCAGACAGCCAGCCTGCCTTCGACAAAAAAAATGTACGCGGCCTCTTAAGGTGTACACCTAGCCTGGCACGGTGAACGATTAGCGGAAAGTGACAATTTCACCAGGCCTGGAAACCCCTTTCTTTGATTAAGCAGCACTGGGCAACGTGGTGCAGTAACGTCAAATAATCACCCACGACCTCACGTGAAGTGGATCAGCCCTCATCCAGCAGTGGATTGAACAAGGTCTGCACTTGGACTTGTACCCCTGTTTGTATGAATGTTTCTAAGAATGCAATGCCGATGTGTACATGCTACATATATCATGGCATTCAATGACGTCACACTTGCTGTGATGTAACATTTAGATAAATCCAAAATGTTAAATAAACTGTTTTTGTATCATAAAATGTGGTATCTAGGCCCAATAATTTGATTTTAAAAATGGGAATAACGTGGGCGTTGCTGACAAAATGGAAATAAACGAAACAGTTTATTTTACCAGGCAATGCCCACTAAGCTACATAGCTGCATTTCAGAAGCGACCTGGCCACAACAGCTCAATAAAGCGGCTTATCACTTCGAAATTTGTCGCAGACAAATACTCTAAACGCATGTGTTTGTTTTGTTATGCAGAGGTAAAATTCTGAAGCACCTGGGAGAAAAATCCACGCGACCACAAGGAGAACACGAAAACTCCAAATATACAGCAGCAGACATCAGGGTTGGGATCGAACCCACGACCTCCTGTATACCAGGCGAGGTAGTTAACATCTCCTAGCCACTGTGATGATGAGACAGAGAGACACGCAAACTCCAAATATATAGCGGGCAGGCATCAGGGTCGGGATCGAACCCACGACCTCCTGTAGACCAGGCGAGGTAGTTAACATCTCCTAGCCACCGTGATGATGATGAGAGAGAGACGCAAACTCCAAATATACAGCAGCAGACGTCAGGGTTGGGATCGAACCCATGACCTCCTGCATACCAGGCGAGGTAGTTAACATCTCCTAGCCAGCGTGATGATGATGAGAGAGAGAGAGACGCAAACTCCAAATATACAGCAGCAGGCGTCAGGGTCGGGATCGAACCCATGACCTCCTGTATACCAGGCGAGGTAGTCAACATCTCCTGGCCGTGATGATGATGAGAGAGAGAGAGACACGCAAATTCCAAATATACAGCGGGCAAGCGTCAGGTTCGGGATCGAACACACGCTCTCCTGTACACCAGGCGAGGTAGTTAACATCTCCTAGCCGCCGTGGTGCCCCACCCCATCCCAGTGCATTGACGACAGTGAAGTGGTTACCGGTGAAGAGGACATCTCCTCCGTCGAGACAAGCGCTCTCGTCCGTCATCTCCACGATGCGCATCTTCAGCTCTTCCACAACGCCCTTCACGGCCTCCACCTACACAGAGACAAAGACAAAGATCCCCTGCCATGTAGCCTTCACAGATTGCTGAGGCAAGTATCGTTAGCGAGCACCTATGAAGGCCGGCGCAGCACGTGAGAGGGGGTGGGTGGCCAGCACCACGCCCGGCCGCCTTTGTCTCCCACCGTGGCAATGTTTTTACACATCGCACCAAATACTCCTTTGAGGCCGAGTTGACCTAGGGGAGGCCCAGGATCGGTTCAGATAACCGTCACTGGTGTTGGCCACGAGCGGGAATCGAACAATTCGAGTCGTTGGGTTTGTAGCGCAGCACGCTATCCACTACACTACCGCTCCCCACACACACTACACTCAATGCACACACAACCATGCACGTATACACACACACGAGCACCTCCGCTACTTTCACATACACACACACCCACTCCCCCCTGCTTCTCTCTTCATTTGAATTCATGCCCATGTCTGAAACACTGAATTTACACAGACTCCAGCCATAATTTTCGTTTAATGCCACAGTCAGTGCCTGTGCCCTGTAACTTGGGGCTCATTTCTGCGGCTACGTTTATACGCAGAGGCAGTTCAATTCTTGGGAATTTCTGTGAATGAATAATTATCTAACCAGTTCAGTATTACTATGGAGCTGCTGTAGTGTAACAATTATTAGCACAAGCAACTTGCAAGCTAAAGGTTGCAAAAGTTCAAATCCGTGTTCCTGGCACAGCCGTTGAAACAACGGTGCATATTTCTTCAATTCCACACCAAATTGGCTGATTGGCGGGTAGCAATTTGTTGAGATAAAGCGTGGGTACATACATTTATTCCAACAAATATGGCCAATAGAATCACAAGTATGCCGGGTTGAATTCCCCAGGCAGCTTTTTCTTTTTTAGATTAACCCAGATTCATCTTCTTGGTTCTATCGGTAAAGTCACGTAGAAGGGAAATAATAAAATAATAAAAATAAAACTTAATAAAATTATTCTCACGACATTTCGGCCACAACACAAGCAGCCGTCCTCAGGTGAAGAACAGGTCTGTCGAGAAGACAGCGTCTGAATGAAACACCACCAGGCTTGGAGCGTATATTTAAGCTGCTGGGTTGGAGGGAGAAGAGCGCCTTGACAAAATAATTTGCATATCAAGAGGAATTTAGCATATTTATGGGAAATGCAGATATGGGATTAGTCACTACTTGTGAAATGCGTAGGAGGTGGGCAGGGGGTTTTCAAAGTCATATTATGCCCGTGCATTATGCAGGATTAGCAGCATCAAAGGGAGGGGATAGGGGTAGCATTAATAAAGGGAAGGAATCGTATCATCAGTATACTAAATATACTCTCCAATAAGCTGAGCTACTAACACTAAGCAATACATTACAATTCTATTAAATCGAAATTTAACCCAGATTATTATTGCCCGCAGCGAATCGACATTTCTCAGCCCGGTCACCGATGCAAATGGCACTGCAATATTCATCGGAAGGTCAGTGCCGATTTACAGTGGAGTCTGAGGCTGATATGGAAAGTGGCTTGCCCGTTTCCTACCACACATTGTTTTTACCGGACATGCTGGAAAGCCACAAACATTTCCATCAACATGGGTAGGAGGAGAGGGTGGGTGGGTGGGTGGGCGCAGTGGTAACACTCGTGCCTTGCAACAACAATTGCCTGGGTTTGATTCCAGACTCGGGTGCCAATTCTGTGTGGAGTTTGTATGTTCTCCCCCCTGTTCTGCATGGGGCTTCCTCCGATAGCTACAAATATATACATTAAAACCTTGCATTGCGAGCATAATTCGTTCCGGAAAAGTGTTTGTAATCCAAAGCACTCGTATATCAGTTGTGATCACGTGACGCTCGGCAGACAAAGCGTATACACGTACTACTCGTATTGCAAGGCCTCGCTCGTTTATCAAATTAATATTTCTTTAAAAATGTTGCTCCTCTTGCAAAACACTCGCAGATCAAGTTACTCGCTATCCAAGGTTTTACTGTATATACCATGTAACTGGTATTAGTGCCAAATATCCCAATGCTGAAAGTTACCTGCAAATTCTTCAAAGTCATAGTTTCCATGCTCAAGTAAATATGGGTTAGTTAAGCTTTTACGAGTGGTACCAAACCAGTTGTATAAATTATACATTCCTACTGCAGCGTGGTGAAGTATGGTGAAACAGCCATCATGACCCACATGGTGTGGGGGCTCTCATTTGATCAGCATGGTTGGCTACGTACGGTATAAAAGAAGTTCAACCAACATACACACTGCCCATAGACTAACACTCCCCATAGACGAGACTCAACACTACCGGCAGACTCAACACTGCCCATAGACTCAACACTGCCCATAGACTAACACTGCCCATAGACTAACACTGCCCATAGACTCAACACTGCCCATAGACTCAACACTACCCACAGACTCAACACTGCCCATAGACTCAACACTGCCCATAGACTCAACACTGCCCATAGACTCAACACTGCCCATAGACTCAACACTGCCCACAGACTCAACACTGCCCATAGACTCAACACTACCCATACTCAACACTGCCCATAGACTCAACACTACCCATAGACTCAACACTGCCCACAGACTCAACACTGCCCATAGACTCAACACTACCCATAGACTCTACACTACCCATACTCAACACTGCCCATAGACTCAACACTGCCCATAGACTCAACACTGCCCACAGACTCAACACTGCCCACAGACTCAACACTACCCATACTCAACACTGCCCATAGACTCAACACTACCCACAGACTCAACACTGCCCATAGACTCAACACTACCCATACTCAACACTGCCCATAGACTCAACACTGCCCACAGACTCAACACTACCCATACTCAACACTGCCCATAGACTCAACACTGCCCATAGACTCAACACTACCCATAGACTCAACACTGCCCATAGACTCAACACTACCCACAGACTCAACACTGCCCATACTCAACACTGCCCATAGACTCAACACTACCCATAGACTCAACACTACCCATACTCAACACTACCCATAGACTCAACACTGCCCATAGACTCAACACTACCCATAGACTCAACACTACCCATAGACTCAGCACTACCCATAGACTCAACACTGCCCATAGACTCAACACTGCCCATAGACTAACACTACCCATAGACTCAACACTACCCATAGACTCAACACTACCCATACTCAACACTGCCCATAGACTCACACTACCGGCAGACTCAACACTGCCCACAGACTCAACACTGCCCATAGACTCAACACTACCGGCAGACTCAACACTGCCCATAGACTCAACACGGCCCATAGACTCAACACTGCCCATAGACTCAACACTGCCCATAGACTCAACACTGCCCATAGACTCAACACTGCCCATAGACTCAACACTACCCACAGACTCAACACTACCCACAGACTCAACACTGCCCATAGACTCAACACTGCCCATAGACTCAACACTACCCATAGACTCAACACTGCCCACAGACTCAACACTGCCCATAGACTCAACACTACCCATACTCAACACTGCCCATAGACTCAACACTACCCACAGACTCAACACTGCCCATAGACTCAACACTGCCCACAGACTCAACACTGCCCACAGACTCAACACTGCCCATAGACTCAACACTACCCATACTCAACACTGCCCATAGACTCAACACTACCCACAGACTCAACACTGCACCTCTGATTAGCACGGTTGGCTACGTATGGTGCGAAAGAAGTTCAACATACACACATGCATACATCCAGCAAAAAGGGTTGTACATATCATGAAGATTTCCTGATTAAAAGTCCAAGCGTATCCGAGCTCAAACAAGAGCAGGCAGAATGTGTTGGCAGCCTTAATCAGTGGTGGAAATTCCACATTGCTATGGTAGGGTCAGTTATGAATCCTGTAGGGGTGGAATGCTAGGTTAACCGTGGTGCCGTGCCAAGACATCATCGAGAGCACAGCAAACGAAATAAAAACAAAAGGAGAAAACTTTGCAGCAAAAACAGGAACTGAAGATTGAGGTTAAAATTAAACATTTAAATTAAAAACACATGGGACTGAAAAGTGGAAATCAAACGTTCAAAGACGAAAAACTAAGCCGAGGAAGAAGATTAAATCAATACAGCAGCACTGTATTGTATGTACGGTGCAAAAGAAGTTCAACATACAGTACATGCAGTACTGTGCATAGGAATTGGAACGTATCAAATATGCATCCCCAAAGTATAAACATTAACGTAAGAAAAATGCAATTCAAACGCCGATACTGTATTCCCAATGTCCCAATGAAGAACCTCGCAAAATACTCGTAATTAATCTGCACAGGAAATGGGTTTTTATAATTTGGCGTTTCGATAGCGACTCGCCTCCAGGAGGCCAGATTTGAAGCCACTTTTCCAAGACAAAATGAGAATCAATACGGGACTGAAACGAACACATTTTTTTAAAAATTATGCTCTCTTGCGTAACCACACTTTTTTAAAAATGCCGACAACACAATTATTTTGTTATTTATTAATTCCCCCCCCCCCGCTTCCTCGTTTCCTCCTCATCTATCTGGCCCGGTCCCTCTCTCTCTCCTCACATAACCTCTAACATTTCTCCTCCCTCCCTTCCCCCTTCCCCACCTCTCGAATTATATTCATTTCGCTCTCGTTCTCAATCGCTCAATCTACCTCGCACAAGCACACCAAACGCTCCTCGAACCACACACACGCACCAAATACAAAAGACCCCCGGTGTAGCTTACACAGACCATTGGGTCAAGTGCTGTTAGCAAGCACCTATGAAGACGAGCACGGCACACAGCGTGAGTGTGGTGTGGCCACCACCATGCCCAGCCGCCTTTGTCTCCCCAGTGCTGATGGTTATGCACTAAACCGATACTCCGTTACGGCCAAGTCATCCTCGGAGAGGCAGAGGATCGGATTCTATTTTATATCTGAGCGGAAATTGAACTCGGGTAGCAGGCGGTGGTGGGTGTTTTAGTGCAAT